ATTGACAATATCTATGTAGTTTTTGGAGATCAGATTTTCCAACAATCTGTTGGAATTCCCATGGGTACCAATTGCACCTCCTTATTAGCAGACCTATTTTTGTGTTCATATGGATCAGAATTTATTAAAAAACTTCTACATGAGAAGAAGAAAATACTTGCTTAGCCTTCAACTGGACATTTAGATATATCGACGACGTATTATCAATTAACAATAGATACTTTCATTCATATGTCGACTCGAATCCCAGTGAGCTTGAAATAAAAGATACCACAGATTCCGACACATCTGTTTCATATTTAGATATTTTACTAGAAAAAGACGTTAATGGTAACCTAACAACAAAGCTTTATGATAAACGTGATGACTTCAACTTTTCAATCGTCAACTTCCCTTACTTATGTACCAATATACCCCTATCACCTGCATATGGGGTTTATGTCTCTCAGTTGATTCGATACGCAAGAGCATGCTCTACGCATGAACAATTTCTAAAATGAGTCAAGCTATTGACAAACAAGTTGATGAAACAAGGATATCAACAGTCTCGTTTGAAGTCATCATTTCGCAAGTTTTGCGGTCGATACAATGACCTTGTCAGCACATACAACCTGTCATTGAGTCAAATGCTGACTGACGTTCTTCATACTAATTGTTAGGCCATTATTCATACACTGAACTGTCTATGGATTTTTCCGTTTTTTTTTTTTCGATCATGGCAAGGAGCACACGGCGGGTGTGATCGGGGGATGCTGACTCCTCTATGGCACCTGACCCCACCTCTAAATTTTGAGGTCCGTGTTTGCTCTGCTCCAAATTTGTATCGTTTCATTGGCCTTTCGAGATTGAATACTGTTCGTTATCTTCATATTTCATTTCATAATCTGATTTCTCTTTGTTCAGCCAGCGTCCACTTTTAATTGGTAATTGGTGATTTAAGAGTACGAAATTTACAGAAAGTATTACTGCATCTGCCAGGCAGAATGTCTTTATTTTTGGAATTTAGTTCATTTTTGTACATTCTATAATTTGAAGTCTTTGATAAATTTTGAAAGTCCGAATTCCATTTTTGTTGAAATTGATCAATTAAATTAGTTTTACTTTCGATTTCAACTAATTTGGATTAAAAGATTGGCTTTGCCATATAATTTAAACAATATTCATCCAAGCAATCCTTGTTGTATTTTGATTTATAATGTCACTTAATTTGAAAATATAATTGAAGTTTTTGTTTTTTCCAGGTTTACGTTTACGGCAATATGAATTAATACGCGTTTGTATTTATATGTACATATGATTATTGTCTATGAGATGTACGTCACTTGACTTTAATAAACTGAACTGATGTCGACCGACATCATTAAATACCATACAGTCGGGAGTAACTTACGATTCAGAGGTAATTTGCAATATTTGATTAACTTTTCCTGTCACTGCAATGTTTGAAAATCCCCATACCTCACATCCATACAACAATATAGGCTGAACAATTTTATCAAACAAATCTAATTGACATCATAGTGATTGGTTATGTAAACGGCCTTTCTTAAGAATTTCGAATATTGCTTTTTTTGTCAACATGTTTTGTTTTGCTTTTTTTATTGATCTTATCATGCGCTAAATAAAATACCTAAGTAATTAATTTCACTTTAGCTGACAACTTTAATCATCTTTTCGCCATACACAAATTCGTGTTCTTCTTTTTGCTTTCCCTTACTTATTATCAAAACTTTTGTTTTGTTAATGTTCGTATTTGAATTTCAATTTCTACAATATTTTTCAAAGCAATCAATTTTGGCTTGTAAATGTTGAGCAAATTCAGCTATCAATATAATGTCTTCGGTTTTTAAGAGGGTAAAATATACATTTAAATGTTGTCCAGACATTTCAGATGTAGAAGGTTAACCAATTTACATATTGCGCTGTAAAAAGATTTGTAAGTCAATTAAATATATTGAAATGAAAAAAAGGCTTAATATACATATGTTCTCCATACTAGTATTTGATAATTAAATAGATAGTTTTTCGGGGGATGGGGGTTGGGAAAATCTCAATTGTTAGATTAAGGACTGTTATCATGTGGCTAACGTGGGATAACTTAAACACATTTAGTATCTTCATCTCGCTTTCAAATAGAGTTATTTTTCCTGAGCTTCTACGCACAATAACTCTTAGAATGCTAACAAAAACGTAACACAACCTTTGATATATTATTCAATGGGTCAATGATATCTTCTTATTAATCTGAAAGGTTTCTTATTTTCCCCCGATTCATTATTTAAATTCCTCTTTGACCGTCTTTCAAAGAACTTCTTCCTCTTCAAAGGCTTCAACAGGAAGATGATATCGCAATTGATGCAATATTAATTTGAGCTTTTCCATTTGTATTGTAAAAATTCTTGCTTGTATTGTTTGATTTTTTATTTGTGCTATTTTTTGTATTTTATATTTTCTATTTATATTCTATAATTTTTCATTTGTATTCTACATTTTCTATGTGTATTTTAGAACGTTTTCACTTGTACATGTATTCTATCCATAGGATACAATACAAATGAAAATTTATTGCAAACAAATAAGAAATTATGCAATACAAATAAAAACAATTATACAATACAAATGCAAAAATATAGAAAAACAAGTAAACAAATCATACAATGCAAATGAAAATTTTTACAATGCAAATGGAAAGTAAAGAATAAAAGTACGTAATTATATACAATACAAATGAAAATTTTAACAAAACAAATGGAATATGTAGAACTTAAAAAGAAACTTCTATAACAGAAATGGAAAATTATAACATTCAAATGGAAAATATAGAATACAAATAAAAAAAAAATTATACAATAAAGATAAGAATTTTTACATTACAAATGGAAAAGATCAAATATTGAAACGTATGACTGCCATAATATAAAATAAAATATTATATATCTTTATGTGTTCTTGACTAGATCGAAAGAAAAAGCATGCAAGGTGTATGATATACAGCCATGGATACATAGGTTTATGCTTTCCCTTATTTCTTGACTCCGACGACGGGTTACCTTTTCTTTTTCTTGTCAATCCTTTGTTCCATTATTCTCCTGTTTTCGTTCTTCAATTGGTATGAGATCGGTCACGGAAGCCTAGTGGTAGGGCGCTTGCTTCGTGATCGGGAGGCCCGGGTTCGATTCTCGCTCGCCGCGCCGCGTCAAACCTAAGACGTAAACATAGATAGTGCTTGTTCCTTCGCCAAGCGCCCGGCATTAGAAGTGAAAGTCACGGGTCTTTCGGATGAGACTTTAAAAACCGAGGTCGATCCCGTGTCACGGAAGGCATTGGCACGATAAGGAACCCTCATTGCTCAATGGCCCTAAGTGCCGAGTATAGGTCTAAATTTGAAGCTCTTCACCGCCATACTATGACGTCTCTATATGAGTGAAAAATTCTCGAATGGGACGTTAAACAGTCTGAAATCAATCAATCAATCAATTGGTATGAAAAAAGTCATCCAAAACACGAACCAATGATAGGTTATATTTGCTAACAAGGTCATTATAGAATCTACGAAATGTTGTTTTTAAACAAGGTTATTGAAATCCCTGTAATATCAACTTATCTATCAGTAGTCTGCCTTTGTTTAAAAAATGATCATACTCAGAGAATACTCTTGAGTATTAAATAATTTGGAAAACGTAAATCCCATATGCAGGTGAATATCACTTCATACTAGTAAATAAGGAAAGTTGACAATGGAAAGCTTGTACTTGTATTCTAATAATTTTCGATTTGTATTGTATAATTTTTCATTTGTATTCTACAATTTTTCATTAGTTTTATTTAATTTTTATATGTTTTCAATAATTTTCCATTTGCATTGTGTATTTTTTTCATTTGTATTGTAAAATTTTCCGTGTGTATTGCATATTTTATTATTTGTATTGTATGATATTCCATTTTTATTGTATCATTATCAATACAAATAGAAAACTTTAGAATACAAATTTTTATAAAAGACTTCTGAACTTTTTAATTTACAATTTAATTCACAAAATAAAACAAAATATTATGCAATCCGAATGAAAATTAGAGAATACAAATGGGAAATTAAAGAATACAAATTGAAAATTATAGAATACACATAAAAATTTACAATACAAATTGAAAATTATAGAATACAAAATAAAAATTATACAATTAAAATATAAAATGGAACAAAAAAAAGCACTTAGATTTTAAAAAAAGAAACCTTTTGGATAAGGTAATAAAAAGATGCTCTCGTTATTTACAAAATGGAAAATTATAGAATACAAATGGAAAAATATACAATACATATGAAAAAGATCGAATATTAATTGCAACATTTGACATGTCATATGCATAGTAAATATGTATGTTAACTATTTTATATATATGTTGTATGTTGACATACACGTAATGCATGTCGAAATAACAATCTTGCATGTCGACACAATGTATTCTATCGTAACACACTTGCAGAAAAACTAATTATTAAACAGGATACAGTTTGTGCACGAAATCAGTCGGACTAAGGGCTATACTTGTATATCTGAATTATATAGGTACCTAAAAAATCCTTCTCGTTTTACTAATTATGTATTGTAGATTCAATAAATTGTAACTCGATTAATGAGTTAAGTATGGCTTATAGAGAGTAATTTTGCCATGGATGTGTTCGCTCTCCCTTTCAAAAAAAAAAATAAATATAAACACTTTTCAGAAGACACGGTTGCACCTCTGCCATGGCTAGTATTTAAAGTATAAGAACAGAACTTCCTCCTCAACAGTAAGTGGGTCAGGAAATAAGCTATTCAATGTGACGATCTAATTATCCTGTCCTCCACAAAAACTTCTGTACATTCCTAACCTCTTAATTAAACCAAAGAAATACATTCAATTTTAGTACTACGCCATCGGTTACAAATACCTTGTAATTTCTGACGGAATGTCATGTCAAAAAACCAGTGCTTGGGATTACTTTTCTTTTTAAATTCATTTTTTTTAAACATAAACATCACTGGACACAGTGAAATCCGGCCAAGGTAAGTAATCTATAGTAATATAATAAGAAGGTCGTTTTATTGATACTCGAAATAGTTATGTACCAAGAAAACCACGCTGCTATCGCCTCATTATGATACAGCCATATAGATCTAATAAATGTTATCATTATTGTTGATTTGACCTGCATAAAATAAGTTCCCTGTATCATGTGATAAGTTTAGACCGATAAAGCAAAGGCCCACCATCCCTGAAACTGACGAGGTAAATATTTATTATATCAAATATTTAATGTATTTAAATGAAAAATTAAATTGCTTCAAATACATATATTTATTGAATTTTAAAGATAGATCTTTCATATTGAAATTCGTCTTTTACTCTATGGCAGCTCATATAAATCATCTACGTGACGTAATTTTTTTTTTCAATTGACATCTCTCAATGCATGTAAGGACTGAATATATAATATACATATATATATATATATTATGTAATGATAAGTTGAGTTTGTTGTAGAGCCTGATTATACACATATACATATCTTAATGCTTATATGTGTGCATCAAAGATTTAAAAGTAACATATGCGCAGATATTTAGATCCTATACTAACCTAACTTGTAACGTACATTTTACATATTTTTACATTTGCTGTGTTTTTCTACTAAGCCAACTGTGAAATTGATTTGAAAACCATTTTTGTGTATACTCACGCGTAGAAATATACACGGAGAAACTCGCGCTAAAGTGACGTAACAATGAGGCTATATTTGTCTACAAATATAGCCTCATTGTAGCACTTGTCACGTAGGCATATTTCATGAAGCGCTAGCGCGCTTCATGAAATATGCCTATGTGACAAGTCTGTGTGATTTACACACCAATAACTCACACAAAACTTAAAAACATTCCTTAATTAACGCCAATTTCTTCACAACATCGAGAAAGTTTAACATACTTAAAATAAATAAATAAAAAAAAATTACGCTTCTCACAAGTACAATTAAACTACATGTATTAAACTTTACTGATAACAATTGTTATTCAAGTTAAAAATACTTTAATACTTAGTACATCAAACTTCGTATCTGGCTTCATCGACATTGGCATTGTCACAAACACAGTAGAACATGGATATGGTTTTGTAAATGACATGGACATAATAACTGTCTATGAAATTTGTTGGAAATAATGTTGTGATAAAATTCAGTTTTAAGTTAACCAAATTCTGAATCAGGAAAGTATATAATTCAATTCATAAGTTTAAAGTTAACCACAATCTAAAACAGAAAATAATATTATTAAATAATAATTCAATTCTTACTAGCTTTTCAAGTGAAATTTCAAACTTCATGTAAAGAAACTGTAAGATTTTCATCCCAAAAATAGTTGCTAATTCCTTATGAATTATCTCAGTAATATTTGAAGTGAGCTTTTACAAATTTAAATAGTTCAGAAATCTTTAATAATTTTTTTTTCAGATGTCGTTCCTGGTTTCTGACGAAAGTCTCGAGTTAATTTAGTTGAGGTTGTCGATGCCGTCCATTGTCAATACTTGGGTTGTCATAGCTTGTATGTATGGTCTTATCTAATTTGTGAATATTTGTGCATAAACAAGATCCAGCATTTTGTCAAACACGGTCTGATTTTTACATGCAGATCGCTACAATTTGTTAATCAAGCTTTCAGTTATATTGGTATCTATGTTGCCAAAATTGAGGCAATGAAATGGATATAAATCAAGCAATAATTTATCGAGTAAGAAATTTGCATAAAGATAAGTTACATGTAATAGATAAGTAACATTTCTGATTAGTATGGTCTTGATTAAACTGTTGAGAATGTATAGTAGATACTGCAGAAAATGCTTTAATCAATGTAATTAAAAACTTTACATACCTTGTAAGATTTAACATGGCAATTACAGGTTTACTTTGCGTATGTAAAGAATATGTAGGAAACCCATTGTTTGAGAGAAACCAGCTACAAGCTGAGGAATCGAAGGAATATCAGCATGCGTATCCCGTCAGGGACACAGTGGGTGCTCAAGACCAAGAATATAATCAACCGTTCTTCGAAAACAATATCCAAAACATTCCAAGGAGCAGAGAGAACGACACGATTCCTCAACTGCAACAACGGCAGCACATAATTCAAAACGGAAATTTAGTTTCCGACCGGAGGTTGTTCTTAATTCAGACAATCAAAGGGAATTTGCAAAGAAATTCTACTGTTGCACAAAACATATCAAGAGAATCCGATATCGTACCAAATCAGAAGGAAGAAACACATTTTCTTCTTGCAGAATTGAATTCTACTACAAATTCATCAAATGGGACTAACGTTACAACCCATCAAAATGTCATTCATATCCAAAGAAGTATAAGTGATATAGAATTAGGACAAGAGGTCTTTGGCAGTAGAATTGAAGTTGGTAATCGGGATCAATCATCAAACATAAACTTTGGACAAGATGAACATCAAGAAAAACTCATCCCGATAGTAAAACGTACGATTTTACCTTCTCCTTATGCTGAAACACAAAACATATCGCTGTCACTTGGAAATACTCAATCCGAAGGACCAGAGAGAGGAAGATTACCAGAGGAACCTAACCGCGAAATTCGGAATGGAAATGGAACTAATCTTCAAGATTTACACCTGAACAATAATGAAATTAAGATAGAAAATTATGGCACCACAAGAAAAATTAATTCATCAACAACTATCACACCTTTAGAAACACCACATCAAAACATACTGTTTCCAGACATTGATCCTGATTCTGGAACCGTAGTGGAACCGCACTCAAAAGATGGACGAAATAACAGTGACAATGTTCTCGAAAACAGACATAGCACATTTGCCTTACCGACAGAAAATGTTCCCTTAGCCACAATACACATTTCAGGGGAAAATCCTGACACTGAATATCTGGAAAACGTTAACAATACAGATGATAGGTTAAGCCATGCAAACACAACAGTAATGGAAGCTATACATACCAAGGAGAATAAATATCGTACCAAAGGCAACGTCCCAGAAATGACCCTTCCGCAGAAAGAACCCGATCAACACGAAATCACCGAATCATCATTACATCGACAAACTTTAACATCAGAATCTGGACAATTACCAAATGAATATATCGGAGAGCCAACAAATACAAAGAACTCACGAGAAGAAGGTTCCTATATAACACACTTTTCTAGAGAGCCCGTCGTTCACCAGGTTACCGAGAAAGATTTCTCTATGAAATCAACAACTCATCAAATCTTTCCAACCGAACAAATCTTAAACAGAAAATCGTCTGTTATACCAGAAGAACTACCAATAAGGACTCGATCTACAGTGAGTACCACCACAAACAAAGATACATTTCAAACATTTCGACCAATTTATTCGAGTACGTATTCTCATCAAAGAGAAAGTAACGAGGGTACAACATTTCCTCCGAGCGAAATGGTACCCGAAATGACCATAAAGTTACCAACAGAACCAATAAATCCTGAGCCAACCGAACCCATATATCAAAGAACTACACGGGTTAGTGCTGCAACAGAGTTTGGTCCAGTGGTCAGCGGTAAGACACAGAGTCCCGATGAACCCGTGCCGCACGTTACTCTACACATCCCAACAGAACCAATGGAGTTCCTTTCTACAACTACAGTTTTGCCAAAGACAGAGTCACCAGAGCAAGTCGGATATATAAGTACATCTTCGAGTACTAATGGATACATGACAGAAAAAAGTAACGAAAAAGTAACCAAAGAAAATGTGGAGTTAACAAGTTTTTCAGCTACAATTATGGAGAGAGAATCAACATACCCAGCTATTACAGGAGAAAGATATGTGGATTTACATACAACAGTTTCTGAATCTAGAACCGAGTATCACAGAATTGACAGTACACAGCACACTGATAACGAAGGAGTATCGCACACTCGTTCATCACTTGTTCATACTGAGGCAGCTCTAAATTCTACCACAGAGCTCTTGAAAACAGTTCATTCTCATATCATCAGCACCCATCCTACTGTCAGTGAAGGGGTGTTAACCAATAGATTACCTGAGGTTCTTACTAGTATAACTTCTGGAAGTACAGTATCTCCTGAACGTACAGAAGCTAACTTCAAAACCTCGCCATCTCAAAGAATTGTCAGCAAAGAAAGTTCTAAATCAATTCTCTCTACGTTAAAGCTAAAAAGCACCGTAAACCCAAATCCCTCTAAGACAACTGAAAATAGTACAATATATTCAATGCCTGGACACAACACGTTCACAATAAGTAATCAGGACAGAAATACAACCATAGAGTCTTCAAAGATCAGTCACACATTTACCACTCTCATAACTGCTCTCAAAAATACCACTACCATCTCAACACGTCCTTCAGTAAATACCATAACTACAAGACGACCAAATCCAGCAGTTTCGCGGTCAACAACTAAAAAACAAAGAACTAATGCCCCAACGACAAAAAAGCCTACAGAAACTCCGAAAGCAACCGAGAAACCAAGTGATATTTACACAACACCACTACTTGTGCCTCCCGTATACATTAGCATGCAGTTCCGGATGACATTGAGCGAGTTCTGTTCTGGAAAATCGACGTTCCTGAAAGACTTGACAAAAATTATAAGGCGGAAAATGGATAAGAATTTCGAGGAAAAGCAGATTAAGTTCATCAATCAGTTGTGTTACGACAAAGTCAATGAGAACAGAATCGATTCTAGGCCTAAAGGGGATATTACTATCGTTACAGTGGATTTATACGTCACTGACATCAAAGGACAGATAGATGTAAAACTGACTATCGATTCTTCAGAATTTCTCCGAACTGGATTTTTAACCTCCCAGTCTCGATATGGTCAAAAGGTAAGTATTTAAAAGAGTCAAAATTTTGTGGCATTACAAAATCCTTTCTTTTGTTTGAAGACCTTGCTGATGTTTATTTGAAACGTTTATATAATAGCTTGTGAATGTCCATCTTATCAACTCTTATGTGAACAAAAATCAGAAAGACGAATCGGACAAAGGTCTTAACTCCGGGATGACCATTTCCATTATCATCGTCATTATCGGAGGTATTTGCTGTGTTTGCCTGATTATGTTACAGGTAAAGTCGTATATTTATAGAAAGGAAGGGGTTTATATCTCACATAGCCAAATTCCTTATTTCTCAACATTAAACATAACATGCACGTCTGAAGTTTTACTTCACTTTACATGGTGACCATTCTGAACATTCTTGTCAGATATTGATGCATAGACGACACAATAAAGGTTCAGAGAACTTTCTCCCAGGCTCCAATCGTTTTTCTCTGAGAAGTTTAGATTCTATTGCTCTTAACGCTGTTCCAAAGTCGAGGCCACACAGCGGTTTTTGGAACCCTGGTTTAGAGAACAACGAGGAGGTAATTCACTATAACAGAATTCAATATTCACTTTCTAATGTCAATTGCTTTGATTTGCCTAAAAAAAAAAAATAGAATTTAGAGATAAAGTGGGGGTAATGATCTGAAATTACAGGGTACTTCGTCATGCTCAAACCCTCTTGGATTCAACAATTTGTCTAACATGACAAGAGATATGGTTGAAATATACAAAGAGTTTGACGTAAGTCCTATATCTTAAAACCAATGAGTTGTACATGTTATATAAACATGGAATATAACAGAATGACAACGTAAATGCTTTGCATTTCTTTTTTAAAGAAACTCCCTTATGAAATGCCAAGTCTTTCATGTGTCCCAATAGGAGCTGAGGATAAAAACAGATATGCCAACGTTATTCCACGTAAGAAATTTGTTATTGTGATTGAAATTTGTCCTAAAAATAAGGCGGTGGTATGGGCTAGAATAAAATGTTTATCATATTGTTACATATACATTATGGAATTATTTTTTAAACGTTTTATGACAAAAAAGATCAATGCAAAAAGTTAAGATAATAAACTTTGATCATCTTTAATGATAAAGATGAAATTTTATAGTTTGAGTCAAGATATAGCATATAATACATGTTAATACATGTACTATTATGATTAAAATGAAACTATGTGGACCAGGTCTTAGTGTAAGTATGCAAAAATTACATGCAAAGTAAAACTACTCTTAAATCCTCTCAGTCAAAATGGCTTGCCAAAAAGGGCGGATGCTTTATGATGTGCAAATAAAATGTATAAACATTAAAGACAGTGGATATAGAGAACAACGCAACAGTTGCCTGTTTAAAAGTTCCTGTAATTATCTCCTTCATATTTATTCTTAAAAAAGAACTTGACAGCAGTATATTATAATAATTTTTTTAATAAAATTAAAATGATTATATTTATGGTTTTTAGGATTTTACACTTTCTATTTTCTTTTTCTTACAGTAACCCACTCGCGTGTTAAGTTAAAGAAATTGGAACACGAAGAACATTCTGAATACATTAATGCAAATTTTGTCACAGTAAGTGTTAATGTATATAACAAGCAGTGAGCAGTGATTATAGTTCGGTATTACTCTGTACAACCAGAGAATAATTTCCCCTTCAATGACCATCTTTTGTAGGGATACAATTGTGACTTACATGCCTATATTGCTACACAAGCCCCACTGCCCAATACAATTGCAGATTTCTGGAGAATGGTGTGGGAGCAACAGAGTCGTGTCATCATAATGATCACTGCTGTCAACGAAATGCAACCGGTTTAGTTATTTATCATTTAATTACCGAGTAACCAGAGAAATGACATGACTTAAAATCACCAGTATTTGTATCAGGCAAAGGTGGATGACATGATACTGACATAGAAATGTGGCCTTACCTAACAAGATAACTGTAGATTCCTTAATTTACGCGAGTACTAAATATTGCAATATGATTCCAAGGTGACAAAACGATTGGCGAGTAGACTGCTGATCAAGACTTTTTACATGCATTTAAGCCACATAAAAATCAGAGCGAGAAATTTAATTTTGCGAGTGGTGCTTCTCGCGGAATAATGCGATAATGAATTCCTCGCGAATATTTGGGAATCTACAGTAATTTACCTCATATTCATAATCAACCCTTTCATGATGACTGCAGTACTTCTATTTTGCAGGGCAAATTAATAACGCTAAGTGAATTTAAGTTTTAGTTAGCAGATAAATATTTACATTTTCAACTGTTTTCTCTGGGATAACTTTGAAAGTAAAAACGTGTTGATTTCTTGATATTTACAATTGAAGTTCAACTTTCGTTAAAAAAAGTTATGTAAGGATTTACCCCGCGACTGTAGAGCGAACGCTCTAACCACTGAGCCACGCGGGCGACTTCTGCGGGGTAATAACTTAATTTCTTACTCGATCGGCAGTTAGAAAATTACACGGATTTCATGGATTGCAATTATGTCCGCGGAAAATTAGCTTAATTAAGGACATATGCAACGTAGTTTTGAACTTTTATTTCTTATTCCTGGATAGTTCAAGAGTTCCAATAATTAAAGGACCTTTTTGAGATTTTACGATGTGAGGTAATACTGTACACATCCTCTGAGTAAAATTTTGAGGAAATATCAGCTAAAACTATATTTTTGTTAATTTTTCTTTACAAAATACAAGGATTTTCATAATTTCGTAATTTCGTTAAAATTCATGGTAATGTATGCTGATTTTTTGTCTGATAACATCTGATGGTACAATGATTCAAAATTAAAAATATATCTTGGAAAATTATCAGTTGGAAAGGTACAGTGTAAAGTATATGCACATGTACGTTGCGTATGACCTTAATCCAAGGTGGAAAAAAAGTACGTCTAATTGTTAGTCCATTATTTACACACTGAATTGTCGATAGATTTTTCCATTATTTCCCGATCATGACAAGGAGCACACGGCGGGTGTGACCGGGGATGCTCACTCCTCCATGGCACCTGATCCCACCTCTGTTGTTTTGCTCAGCTCCAAAATTTGTATTGTTTAATGGACTTTTGAGCTTGAATACTGTTCGTTATCTCCATACTTTTCATTTTTAAACAATTGCTGTAACGCCATATCAGTAGCAGTACTGCAGTTATCCTGCATCCGTCTATATAATTTAACCTCACATGTTAAAACACTTTTTGATATTAGACACCTAGGTCTTGTATAGAAATATGGTATTTTGTGCTTTGCATATTGATACCTTATTTGGAAATTATTTTTTTAGGAAAAACCTTGAAATCCTACTTCTATTGCAGCCCCGGGATGCACACTATATTCCAGACACAGAGGGAATTAATGGACGTGTTCGATACGGGGATATTGTACTTGTGCTGAAAAAGAAAGAAGTTAGACAAGAGTATATTATGTCATTGTTGGAAGTAAAAGACATAGAAGTAAGGTTGTTTTGGGGGTTTTTGCTTGTTTTTGTTTCTAACTTTTTTAAAACTTTCCACTTTATCTGACACTCAGAACTTGGAAAAATTTTGTCTATTTTGCCTCAAGGACATTTAATTGATCAAAAACGCGTTTTAAGGTCAGACGACACGTTCCTCAATAATATATAATTTTTTTCAAGACTTTGTCATTGAAGTATTGCTACTTTAATAAGTTTCCTAAGAAAATATTAAGGTATTTTATCAGGCATTTGTGCAAGATACCAGTGGATGTTATTTACTATATAATCCTATTGGAAATCACTAGCATTGCCAATATCACAACCTTTTGGTGTCTTTATCTACCTATACTTTTTGAAAATAGTTTAAATCACAAGATAATGATAATTATGATTTATTTGTTGTATATTAGGATAAGATACAAAATAGACATTCGAGCAACGTGTCGTCAGACCTAAAAGAAAGTTTTTGGCTTTTTACATGAGAGCACAGGCATTTTGGGTGCCTAACAGCCAACCGATAATTTTCAATAAATTGTAAATCACGATTCGTTCCTAATTTACAATCTGGGAAAGACTGAATGGAACATCAGTTACTTTGTTGGAGATGTAGAAATTGCTGACTCCATCTATCTAGGTTTTTTTGTGATATTTTGAGGAGTAAATAAATGATTATTTTGTTTCTTCTTTGTAGAACAATCTTTTAAGAGAAATTCGACATTTTTGGTTTACAAGTTGGTCTGTGGATTCCATTCCAGAACCAATATCCGTTATCAAACTTATCCTAGACACACGCGTCCATTATGAGGATAGTGGGGCACCATTAATAGTACACTGCAGGTATAAACCACGGATATAAAACTGCATGTACAACAAACTGATAGTACACTGTAGGTATAACACACTGATGGTACACTGTAGGTATAACACACTGATGGTACACTGTAGGTATAACACACTGATAATACACTGTAGGTATAATACACTGATAGTACACTGTAGGTATTACAGACTGATAGTACACTGTAGGTATAACACACTGATAGTACACTGTAGGTATTACACACTGATAGTACACTGTAGGTATAACACACTGAAAGTACACTGTAGATATAACACACTGATAGTGCTCTGTAGGTATTACACACTGATAGTACACTGTAGGTATAACACACTAATAGTACACTGTAGGTATAACACACTGATAGTACACTGTAGGTATTACACACTGATAGTACACTGTAGGTATAACACACTGATAGTACACTGTAGATATAACACACTGATAGTGCACTGTAGGTATTACACACTGATAGTACACTGTAGGTATAACACACCGATAGTACACTGTAGGTATAACACACTGATAGTACACTGTAGGTATAACACACTGATAGTACACTGTAGGTATTACACACTGATGGCACACTGTAGGTATAATACACTGATAGTACACTGTAGGTATAACACACTGATAATACACTGTAGGTATAATACACTGATAGTACACTGTAGGTATAACACACTGATAGTACACTGTAGGTATTACACACTGATAGTACACTGTAGGTATAATACATTGATAGTACACTGTAGGTATAACCCACTGATAGTACACTGTAGGTATTACACACTGATAGTACACTGTAGGTATAACACACTGATAATACACTGTAGGTATAATACACTGATAGTACACTGTAGGTATAACACACTGATAGTACACTGTGATATAACACACTGATAGTACACTGTAGGTATAATACACTGATAGTACACTGTGATATAACACATGGATAGTACACTGTAGGTATAATACACTGATAGGACACTGTAGCTATTACACACTGATAGTACACTGTAGGTATTACACACTGATAGTGCACTGTAGGTATAACACACTGATAGTACACTGTAGGTATAACTCACTGATAGTACACTGTAGGTATAACACACTGATAGTACATTGTAGGTATAACACACTGATAGTACACTTAGGTATTACACACTGATAGTACACTACAGGTATAATACACTGATAGTACACTGTAGGTATTACAGAGGCATCCTGTACAAGGGTTATTCCATGTATTACATTATAAATACAGCTGACACAGGTACCACAGGCACACTGTATTAATCTATCCTGGGTAACAAAGGCACTCTGTATAAAAGTTATCCTAGGTAACACAGGCACTGTATAAAAGTTATTCTCAGTAACGAAGGCACTCTGTATAAAAGTTATTCTCAGTAAAAGGCACTCTGTATAAAAGTTATCCTCAGTAACGAAGGCACTCTGTATTAAAGTTATCCTAGGTAACAAAGGCACTCTGTATAAAAGTTATCCTCAGTAGCGAAGGCACTTTGTATAAAAGTTATCCTCAGTAACGAAGGCACTCTGTATTTAAGTAATCCTAGGTAACAAAGGCACTCTGTATAAAAGTTATCCTAGGTAACAAAGGCACTCTGTATAAAAGTTATCCTCAGTAACGAAGGCACTTTGTATAAAAGTAATCCTAGGTCACAAAGGCACTCTACATAAAAGTTATCTGAGGTCACGAAGGCACTCTGTATAAAAGTTATCCTCAGTAACGAAGGCACTCTGTATAAAAGTTATCCTCAGTAACGAAGGCACTCTGTATAAAAGTTATCCTAGGTCACAAAGGCACTCTACATAAAAGTTATCCTTGGTACAAATATTACCAGGACAGATGAGCAACACCGCAGATAACAAGGGCACTTTGTAAGTAGGCTATTATGGAATTATGACTAGGAAAGTGTACAGCACAACTAAGTGTTTGGCAGGCAATTAACGACACTTTGTCACTGTCTAAAAGTTTAACCTTTTCATCGTTTATATTGCAAGATTGCGGACTTTGCATGTACACTGCAAGTGACAAACTTGGATTGTTCTTTGTGTCTTGATGCCGAACCGATGTCAATCGAGAATCTTCTAAATGTTGTTCAGATTTATTATATCCCGGCTTGAAATGTTGGGGTTATATAGTAATGGAGGTGTCCCTCCGTACTTTCTTCCAACCATACATTCGTTACACCTGGATTAGCTATTCCTTATCCGCAACTCCTCTCACACCATTGAATGCAATTACATGAAATTTTCACAGATCCTTTTATTACATAGTGCCATTTTGTACCTCCTATTTTACGTTTTGATTGGTAAGATATTTGGGTTTTCTAATAGCAAATCATGGACTTTACCATTTTTCATTTAACACTGGAGCTACCCATCTCATTTTCCGCGACTCTTCCTGGATCAATGAAATTTGATGAGACTTTCACAGAATCTTTATTACATAGTGCCATTGTGCTCCTCCTATTTTACGTATTTTACAGGCAGATATTTAGGGTTTCCCTTAACAAAACATTGACTTAACCATTATACTCGATAAAAGGGGTACCGTTTTTTAAAGCAACTCTTCCTTAAACACTATCTATCTATCTATTTATTTATCTATCTATCTATCTAATCTATCTATCCATCCATCCATCCATCCATCCATCTATCTATCTATCCATCCATCCATCTATCCATCGATTGATCGATCCATCCATCCATCCTTCCTTAAATAGGTATTCGTGTATTTTCTGTTCAGGTACTCGTAGAACTGAAGTATTTTTTCGTATTTGATATATGTATTTTCAGATCGAGTTAAAGGCAGGAGTGAAGCGCAAATCTTATTTGATATATGTATACAATATTTTTTTCAGTTCGGGTACAGGCAGAACTGGGACACTGATAGCTATTGATATCTGTATGCGCTCCTACGAAAACAAGAGGGTGGTAGATATCCTGGGATGTGTCTGCAACATGCGCAAAGAGCGTGCTGGTGTGGTTCAAAACAAGGAACAATACGCTCTCATTTATAAGGTATTTTATTCAATTTCCTCGACCAATTTTTATAACAGAGAAGTTTCATTGGCGTGTTCCTGTATACATGTTTAGGAATAAAAAAGAGACATTTGTAATTTTCTTTGTTGAAAAAAAAAGAGATATATATTGTACAAGTCCAGTCTGTATTCTTTTGCAGACATTGAATGAATACGCAGTAATCATGGGAAGCCCTAAACTGACACAATCGTCATCCTCTGCTATTCAACTGCAACACATGTTATAATAATGATGCTGTCAAAGGAAGAATTTATTCTACTTGTGGACATATTACAACCATATTTTCATTCTTATTTTTGTTTCCATTGTTTGTTTTTGTTTGTTTGTTGTATTTTTTGTATTTTGTTATACCGGGGGTATGCTAATCAAAGTTAGTGTTCAGTAGTTATCACAATAACGTGTTGTAGTATATCATTCAACCCATATCATTTCAATTTAAAGAGGATGTGTCTTTTTAACAATTTACTTGTTAGTCTTGTCAAGCTATCATTTTCATGTCGCAGACTACATATTTTTCATGTCCAGCACTTTCATTACCTTTCCCTGTGTGTATAAGGCATACGAAAAATTCTTTTGATTGAAGCATTCCCCTCGTTTCTTAACTCTTTAAAATTTCTCTTTCTACTGCAGTAAGATGACGATATTTAATACGAAATTTAAGAGAAAACCTTGTCTCATTTCTCATGGTTGTCATTTGTATATATACATTGTAAATTAGCTTTCTTTACAAAATTCATTTTGATGAATTGTCTTGCTGGGGAATGTGCAATATCAATATACTAAAGTTCACTGGCTTTAAAAAATACTCATATGATATACATATAAATATTGCATACATATAAAGCACTAGAAAATGAACAGCACTGTATATCCAAATGTGTCGGATCTACTTAATAAAAAGATACAAGGTCACGAATGGAAAAAGGAAATTTAAAAAAAAAACAACTGGCACTACGGCTAGACTACTAAAATACATGTATTACGTTTAATATAAATATTAAAACCCAGTTGATATGAAATAACTCCGGACCTGAAATACCTCCGGTCCTTATTGTGTATCTGCAGGTAGATCGCACTTATATATATATATATATATATATATATATATATATATATATATATATATATATATATATATATATATATATATATATTTATATTTATATTTACACACACACACACACAAATGAATGGATTTAAATATTGCATCATATATTAAAAACTGGTGCTATTCACCTCATAAAAATGTGTCATTTCCATCCACTTTTGTGACATTTGCATGACGGTTGTAACGTATTGAATGATTGCAAATGAAATTAAACTTACTCATACATTTTGTTAGAGTTTTAAAAAAAAAGAATTCCTTAAGTGCCAATGAAAAATGTAAATAGGTTCAATGTAGATATATCTAGTTTATATTCCTTTCATTTTCATTGAAGATTAAACTAATAATAATAACTTTTATTTCTAATTTATTTGTTTCAATTCCAAATATGAGGATGCTCTGAGTATTTCAGCAGTTTTTATTTTCATATTCAAAGCTAAAAAATAAATAAATGTAGTAATTTTTATGTCATCCTTCTAATACTGATTTCTCAAATCTGAATCATAGTGCATTATGAGATAAATACTGTCTCACAAGATTCACAAATAGTAGCTATGGAACATGATTTTTAAAAGCACTTCTTAATTTAAAAAGCAACATTTTATTTTTAAGAGGCTTCAAAACCATTTCCAAAACAGTTTTATTTTTTGAAATTGGTTGAAAAATGAAAAAGTTATGATAATTTTTGTGTTTTCATTTTTTAAATCTTGAAACAAAAAGTGTTGCCATTTTTTAAAAAATAAAATAGACCAAGTCTACTGAGTTATAAGTCTTTATTTAATGCAAAGTACTTTATTAAAATTATATAAACAAAAAAATATGCATTAAGATTTTTTCCCCAGTGTATATAATTGTTTGAAAAATAAATATGATAGGGTCAGCATTATTTTTAAGTCTGAACTGTGGTACAAAAAATGTCTTTTCATTCTTGATAAATAAAATGGAAAAAAAAAACACTATGAGAAATATCAATACATGTATCTAAAAACTTGATATTTCTCCAGCTAGAGTTCTTTGATCAGAATTGCTAAAAAAAAATTATACCCCCCCCCCCTGGCAAAAAGAACGAACTACAATATATACAATAAAAATGTATTAAAAAAATTCTTACTAGGGTGAAAAAAGATTTTTTTCAAGGATGATGATAACTTTGATGATGAAAAAGAATAGGCTTAAAGTTATGAAACTTAATATTATGATCAGAAATTGTGTAATCAAATCAGAAAGCCTCAGCAAGTAAAATATAAGTTAATGAATAACAAGTGTAACATCCACATTTTTCACATGCACATCAAACTCGCACACATTTTATTCTAGTATTAGAAAGGAACAAGAAAAGCTAAACTGGCTATACATCATAATTTTCAAAGAATATTGCATGAGGCAGAAAATGAGGATATGTTTACTGTCACCCATAAATTTATATTTTGGATTATTCATCATGTTCAAAAATTAAGTCTTGATACAATAATTATTCTTTCTCAATTCACTCGTACATTACACGTACCGTAGTTTCTCTCAGTAACATGTGATCATGATGTACAAAGTTCTTCTTGTTTGTCTTGTCATTTTCTAAATTTAATTTGAGGACAGGTATTGTTGAAAGTTTTTTTTAATGAAGTAAAACAAATTGATCTAGAAATCAGCTGATTGGCGAGTTGGCTTGGGGTGGGATGGGGGTGGGGGTGCAATGATGTAAATTATCATTTCTGTGTGTTAATTTATGTATTTAGAATAAACTTTCTCTAATTTTTGAAACGATAATTTTCACTTTGGAAAACCAGACACAGACATATGACACTCATATTGGTCTCGTTGTCATACATCATTGCACTTTCACCTTACAAATTCAAAACAAAGTACGAAATCAAAACAAACTAAATCATTTAAAGCAAGATATTCACATGATTTTATGACCTCTGGCCCTTTGCAATTTACTAAAATCCTACACACCCGTCACACGTTTAATGCAAGCAAAGGGCAAATAACCCTGTCAGGCAAAAATAGTCCATGTGATTGAACGTGATTTGGTGTTAAGTACAAGGATTTAAAATTATTATTAGATTGAATTCTTAGAGGAAACACGTTTTTATTTTATAAAAATCAGGTTTTTAAGGTGTATATTCTGAAATTCATTTTTTTCTCTTGAAACGAATATTTCATTATTATTTTTTTACCGCTAAAATGATGCAATTTATTTATTTTCATCCATATACACTTGCAGTAATACCTCACGAAGGTTTCCGAAAAACTTTTGTGATTGTATATATCGTCATCTTATTGTATCAGTCCGTAACACACGCCCACCCGATCATTTATTTTTTTGGCAACAATAGTTTAGCAAATATTAGAGTTATCGCCCGTTGCTTTTCTGTCGCTACAAATAGTGAAATACTTCATAAACAAAATAAAAATCTTTCTAACATATAATTAGTTCAGCTGGTCAAAGACATAAAGGCTTATGTGATGGTAATGTGTTCGTCGGTAGATATTATTACAATCCTATCCCTCCTAAAGTTTTGGTCCAGTTTTGACGAATGATGTTGTAATTATTACTACCAGGTAACAAAGAAAGAATTTCTGTTACTTTTTTTTCCAAAGAGCTACTCCTCCTAATTTTGTTCCAATTTAAAAAAAAAAACTTGATACACACACACACACACACACACACACACACACACACACACACACACAAACTTAAATGCATATTTTTCGACCAACGAATTTGGTACGTATTTTGGCTGATGTGTTCCATATCAATTGTTAGTTTTTTTTTTATACAAAATTTTACTACGGAATATTCCCTCTACCTTATCAATACATAGGGCTCACGGCGGGCGAGACTGATCAACAGGGGATGCTTACTCCTCCTAGGCACCTGATCCCACCTCTGGATTTCCGAATGTCAGTGTTTTGTGCCCTGTTCACAGATTTGAATTGTTTGTAGATTTTTTTAGATCGATCACTGTTCGTTATCTTCACTTTTTTTCATTGTACTAATGGTTACAGAAAATAAAAATTCTGAGAAATTCTTTCAAAACGCTACCTCTCTCACAATTTTGGTCTGATTTTTAGAAAAAATGGTTCACAAGTAAAATATATTAAGATTTGAAGAAAGATGTAAAAATAGAATTCTCTGTGAAATTCTTTCAACTAATAACTAGAAATATACTGAATCGTGATGATTCATTTTCCCATCGACGACTTCCCCTATTTATTCAGTACCCGGTAATATTCCAATTCCATCTGTATGAAGTAGGTGAAGATAACAAACTGATCGATCTCAAAATAAAAAAAGACTACAAACAATACAAATCTGTGAACAGAGCATAAAACACGAATGGAAACATCGATCTCAAAAAAAAAAAAACTACAAACAATACAAATATGTGAACAGAGCATAAAACACGAACCCCTGGAAACATCCAGAGGTGGGATCAGGTGCCAAGGAAGCGTAAGCATCCCCTGTTGATCGGTCATACCCGCCGTGTACCCTGTGTATTGATCAGGTAGTCGGAGTAATCCCTAGTCAAATTTAGTGTAAAAACAAAAGCCTAACAAATGGTGTGAATTATGTTAGTCAAAATACAGCCAAACGATTTTGTATTTGCCAACAAGGTCTTATAACGACCAAAGAATTTACGAACTGCCGACTTTAAATAAGGTTTTTGGAATCTCTTGATCAGAGCATGCCTTAATTATCGAATAGGTTTGGAGACATAAACACCATATGCAGGTGATAGTTGGATATTACTACATATACAATGTATAAGGAAAGTTGACGATGGAAAAGCTGAAGTCATCTTGTATGTCATAGAGTTTAGTTGGCCCTTATCGTCTATAGTTAGTAAAACGTCCAACTATGAAACCGATGTGGCAGACTCTGTGGTGTCTTTTATTTCGAGTTCACTGGAATATATCGAGTCGACGTGTGAATTTAAGTAACTACATGTACATGTATTGTTATTTAATAAAACGTCGTCGATATTTCTGAATGTCGAGTTGAAGGCCAAAGCACGTGTTTTTTTTTCTCATGTAGAAGTTTTTGAAAAAGTTCCGCTTCATAGGTCGGCTAATAAAGGAGCACAATTAGTGCACAGATTGTTGGAAGACCATTCTTTGAATATTAACCTCAGAGTTCTTGTGTAGAATCAGAGTTATTTAAAGTGTGTTTGTCTCCCAGTTGATTTGCATGTTCTGGGTACGATCAATTTTAACTGAGAAAGATCAGCTACTGCCAAATTAGTTGATCTTACATGGCTTTCAACAATCTTGTTGAAAGTCAACATATCTCAAATTCTATGGCCGACAAAATCGCCTTGTTTGCAAATACAACCTATTTTTCGAAATATTTTGACAGAATGTTTCATACCACATACATAAGATTGTTGTTTTACACGAATTTGTTGTTTTTACACTAATTTGACTACGTTCTACTTGGGTATGCTTACATCCCCTAGGCACTAGATCCCATCTCAGTGTTTCTAGGGGCGCGTGTTTTGTCCCATTCATGATTTGTATTGTATTCATGATTTAGGAGATCGATCACTTTTAGTTATATTTACCTTTTTCCTTATCCACTCGCATCGAAATTGGAGGGGATGTAGTAACTCACTTGCGAGTGTGTGGGTAAGTGGATGAGTGAGTGAGTGCGTAATGGTAGTGGTAATTAACATCGGAATCTATGCCATTTTGTGTAAATAAAAATTGATAAATAATAAAAATTTACGATCACGTCATGTCACTATCGCGTCATTTCGCTAAGTCAGAAATATACCTTCGTAAAGAGTTATCTTTCCTTTAATGTGTGAAATTATGCATGTTCATTATTTATTTCAGCACATGTGTTTTATCTGGAGAATTTTTTTATTGCCACGGTAAAATTTTTGAAAGTTGCTCATAATTAATTTTAAAAAAGGTTTGAAAAATAATGGCAAACAAAATTTCTTATTAAAGCAATATGAGCTGCATTTTTAAGAATTTCATTTTGCTGCTAAAATGTGTTATAATAAATTTGTATGTAATTTAAACTTTTTTGATCAATTAGACAGAAATAAAGTATCAAATTTTTTCAGAATAAAGGATTCTGTACAATCAAATATATAGTATTATATAAGAAATCAATATTGTACAGGACGACAATAATGTAATTTTGCTTCAATCAAAGCTTATAAATAGTTCTTCCATCGCAAATACATGTATGAACAACAGAAGTTTATAAACGTTCTTTTTTTTTCTGTCATTGAAACAGTTAATTACAATTTTGCAACAAAAATTTCTAACATCAAAATTGCAGCTCATATTGCTTTAAATTTCTTTTTCCGAATTTTTTTTTCTTATTACCTACAAGTTACTTTTTTTCTATGTTTCTTACATATGCTATTGAGCAGCATATATAATCTCCATGCGAGAGTGCATATGATGAGAGCAGTTGTGTTTATGGAGGTGTCAATGCAACTGGTAGATACGGGTTTAAGAGATAAATAACAGAGAATAATCATGCATATATCGATTTTGTTACTGCTTGTAAAATATTTTGGATTCGCTTCATTTACAACTTGGTAGAGAAATCGCAAAAAGGGCCAAAATTTAAGTACACTCATTCTTTTCTACGTCGTTGTTGTTCTGAGAAAGGAGGGGGGAGTTATGATGAAAGTAAGTAAAGTACGCAGTTAGATTACTTACTTTCATCCTAAGTACGTAGTTAGATAATCAATTAGGAAGGATTCCTTGTAACCTGAAGGTCATGGATCAACTACGTAATACATGTACAATATCATATCATTGCCTTCCGCATTTATTTTTGTTTACATGCAATAACCTTTGAACTTCTTCCAATTTCAAGTCAAATGTCAACAGTTCCATAGCAGGTGCTCTCAAGTTTCTACGACTATGTAGACCGAAGAAGATCTTAAATCTAAGAAGACCGAAGAACTTAGAATCTACCCTCCCCAAACAAGGGCGTCGAGAATGGGGTGCGCACGGTGCGATCGCACCCTTGCTTAAAAGAAACACTCGAAAACATCATTTCTAAACAAAATAAATTCATTATTTGTTATCTAAAGTAATGCTTCTAGATTTTGTTTATCTAATACGTGAAAAAATAACTCCAAGAATGCGCAAGATCCCACCAATATATTACCCACTAAAACAATTCTAGCTAGGGGGAGGGAGTGCCTCTCCCAGATCCACCCCCCTTTAAGAAACCCTGGCGGTGGCCCTGTCAAAGCCGATACCATTAATATAATTGTCTCGCGCCACTCTAGGGGGATTTATTGGTAATTAACATAATTTACACTTTTTATTGAGTTTTTACAGAAGAATGTAGGATCCTATTTAGAATAATCTAATTGTGTCTCGGTACAGGCCCTCACCACAGTTAGAATGCCTCTCATATACCCGTAATGTGGAGAAAATAACAAATTCGCTCTGAAACGATTTTGGAGAAAATTCATGATTTTGCATTGAAAATAATCGTCAGATTAATCATAACAAACCTTTTTTGAGATTGTTTATACTTTCAAAAATTAATCCATATATTGGAAGAATTCAACGCCTTTTCCTCAACGATTTTTACTCAAAATTGTACGTGGGGGGAGGGGGGGGGGGGTTGACAGAAATTCTTGACAAAAAACGTAATCTGACGTATCTTGAGAGGTATGACCGTAAATTAGCTTACATTACTATTGTGCAGTTTTTACTGACGAAATTATTTGAGGGGACGCAAAAGTTCTGTTAGTTAGCTTTCTCTTTGTATCGTATTTAATTTCCTACGGGTCTGTTATCATATGCTGCCTCCAACAGAAAAGGAAACAACACTGCTTAATAGAGTGATACTGGATCTAGTCCGTAGAACGCGGGGGGGGGGGGCTTTTTCTGAGTATATATTCTGCTATAGTAAATTTTCATTTCAGTGCTGGTTGCCTCCCCCCCCCCCCCCCACAATTCTTTGTTGTTGTAAGGTCGAGCACTGGCAAATTCCTGAATTTGATTGGCAGGTAAAGAGGTTTTTCTTTTCTTTCCTTTTTTTTTTTTTTTTTTTTTTTTGGCTTGTCAGATTTTTTTGGAGGTTGACACCCCCCTCCCCCACTTTTGAAACCGTTGCTTAAGGCCTGTGGATGACCCCCATTTACTTCTAACATTCCAGTGTTAAAGGTCAAGGGTATATTGGATGCCTTGATCAAGCATAATTTTTAGAAAAGTAATTAGTCTGAAACGTTAAATTATGATGAAAAAGTGCATACATGTTTCAATATAGGATTAAACAAAATCTTTTTTACAACGCATATTTTTATTACAAAACAGATTTTTTAATTTATGATTTTTTTTTTTTTTTTTTTTTTTTTACAATTTCTGTTAAAAACATATGCCTATGGTCCACGTATCACAGTCCTTTTTGAAGGACAGAAACTTGTTATTTACGTATAAAAACTCATGTACTTCAGACCGGAAATTTTAACGTCGACGATATTGGTTTTACTTTTAGAAAAGTGATGTGAAAACAATCATTAATGGTGAACCGTGAATCTTTTAATTTATCAAAGGCGCCTAAAAATACAGTGCTGAGAAAATGTTTTACTGTGCCTGTAGATTAATTTACAGGAGCAAGATTCATCTGTAGTTTAACAACAGCTAAAGATTGTGAGTAGCTGGTTTAAAGAATGTCTATTTTTAGTGCTATGCCTTTGTGCAGATGTGGGGAAGACAGGCATAGACGTATATTAACTAACGTTATACGCTTTAACCTGTTCAGGGGCGAAGCTAGGACTTTTAATGAAGTATAGGCACAAATTACGATGAGAGTACTGGGGGCCAATCAAGGCCTCAGCGGGTCCATGCATAGGCGTCGGAACCGGGGGGGGGGGCTAGGGGAGGGCTTAGCCCCCCCACTTTTTTTGCAAAGATAGACATAATATAGGCGTTGAAAATTTGGGCTAACCTTTTTTTGTTGGTTTCCCCCCCCCCTCCACTTTCAATTAGCCCCCCCCCCCCACTTTCAATTTGCTTCCGACGCCTATGCCGGAAGGGCCCTGGTAGGAGAATTTTCATAATTTTCGGCGTAATCAAATTTAGAATATGAAAAAGAAATTTATTTAAAAAGTATTCATAAATAAACATATACAAAATCAATATTTGGCAACAAAATGATGAACAAACTTAAGTTTGTTCAGAAAAAAAGCTAGTTTATCCACAAAGATGAGGTAAATTTGGGTGGGCAGTCATAAAAAAAAGTTAATTGTTGTCAATTCAAGTTAATTAATTAATTATACAATGAATACCACATATATTTATGTAATTACTTGCATGTAATTTTTTTTAAAGACTGTATATAAACTGAGAATTCTTTCATAGAAACAGCCAATTAACTATTGCAGATTATTACGTAGCACAGTTTTGGTTGTTATTTATACACAGATTATCTGTATGAAACTATATCAATGGCAAAAATATGTACTCATTTTTTTTTTTTTTTTTTTTACAGTTTTGTTTTATATTTTTCTTTCTGAAAAATTGAAGTGTAGGCATGTGCCTTATGTGCCTAATGACAGCTACGCCACTGCTGTTAACTGCTTCTTATTCACCCTCTGTCTTATTCTCTTTAGAGAAGTGGACAGGCTTTTGCTAACATCCACAGATGATGTAGGCGAAAGCCTGTCCACTTCCCTAAAGAGAATACATCTGTCTGACCTCCTTCATCAAGCTGAGGATTTTGCCAGTTGTGTGTGTGCATGTTTAAATGAAAGTTTTTTATAAGAAATTGGATAAAAACAGGACTATGTCTTAGTCACTTGAGATTTAAAAATCTTAAGTGATTTTGTTGCTGTGATGTTGCTGTGTAGCTGATTAACAACAAAGTTTAGATTGACACTAGCCAGAAACTTAAAATCCAAGAAAGAACATCTATATTCTGGCATTTCAAATAGCCTACCTTCATATTGAACTTAAGTGAGGAAGGAATCATTCTACCCATGTATCAACAAGGAGTGGAACGCCCCACCCACCTCTACTGTGATGGCCCCGAGTCTTGACTGCTTCAAGGCATGTTTCCGTCAGTAAACCTCTAGCTCTGTTTTTAACTGACCTGTAAACAGACACACACAATTTTTTTTTTAAATGTGCACACCTAGTCTGAAATATCTAACGTTTTCCTAACCTTTTTAAGATTTTGATATTTTACATGCCAGGAAAACTTCAGAACCGGTGCCATTACGAAAACTGGGAATTCGCCGCCTCCAACTGGAGGCGGCAATCTCAGGTTGATTTTCGATACTTGCTAACCGAATAAAATGTCACACTTAGAACTTATCAATAGTACAATACTTTTAGTACTCACCAACATCGTTTTTATGGTTCAATTATAAAATATACAATCCAATGAAAACATTTTATCTGACTGTCGAGATTTGTTTTCATTTCGTGTATTTTAAAATCTTGCAAGTCCTGTATTGAAATGTGGAGTGATGTTTTCTTTTCATCGATATTGGTGAGTACAAGAAGCATTGTGCTATTGATAAATTGTGAGTTCAGCATTTAATTCGATTTTGAACGTATCGAAAATTAACTCCAGTTGGAGACAGCTAAATTTCCAGTTTTCATAATGGCGTCGGTTCTGACGTTTTCCTGGCACGTAAAATATCAAAATCGTAAAAAAGCCAGGAAAACGTCAGATATTTTGGACTAGTGCACACCCAACAGTGGCAAAATAGTCAGCATTTTGATAGTGGCAGCTTACTGGTAGAAGTAGAAACTTGTCTGAAAAAATGTAGACGGACACTATGGGGCACTGTTTTAGTATTTTTGATGTTAGACAGGTTGGGACCAATTGCCCAAATGGGACATAATAGCCCATTTGCGATATAATATCCCAAATTGGGTATAAATATACAGTGCAAAATATAAAGATTTTCATTTATAGCTATAAGTATTATAAATCTGCATCAATATACTTAAAAAGCAACAACTTCCAGTTAACAAGTTTTTCTGTATCCCTACTGTATAGGAGAATGATCCCTCAGAAGATCCTACTGTAAACATCTTGAGATCAGTCTCTTAAACTGTAAAGTAATTGAATAATAATTGAATGGACATACAATTAGAGCAAATAAGTCATGGATTGAACATTGTGTCATTGTCGTGTAGAGTTGGATTTGAATCATTTTGTTTTTTATTTGACATGTCTTTCTATTGAAAAATTCTACCTATTGTAAGTTATTATTTAACACCCCCCCTTAAAAAAAAAACAAAACAGTTCAACATAAGAGGAGTTTTTGATACATTAAAATAACAATGTAATAATCACGGGAAATAGTTCACACCTTCAAAGTGATGTTTTGTTTACATTAACCAAACACAGTACCGGGTAAGTGACATGTCCAACACATTTCCCATGTCATGAAAGCAAGAAAAAGTGGCAGCTTTTGGTAACCAGTTCACAATAAGGGACATATTTGAATTTCCTTGGAATTTCAGTGTCCCATCATTATCCTGTGAATGGGGTCCAAACTACATGACATTTTGTGTACAGCTGGTACATATTGCATGTATATTTGATGAGGAACACATCGGAAAATAAAAGATAATGAGCAAAGTAGATGTATAGATTTTTTTATGACACCTAAAATTGCTAATTATACCCCACGCAACAAGTTGCGTGAGGTATAATGTTTTTGACCCGTCCGTCAGTCAGTCAGTCAGTCAGTGTGTCAGTCAGTCAGTCAGTGTGTCAGTCAGTCAGTCCGTCAGTCCTGTTTTTTTGTCAGCGCAACTCCTCATAAACCGCTGAACAGAATTTCGTCAAACTTTGCAGATATTTAGGACACAATGTGTAGATGTGCATATTACCAGGAAATTCCGATTCCTTTAATTTTTCTCGGAATTTCGGCACTTTTCAACTTAGATTTTTGGCCATATCTTGAATATGGAGATGAACAGTTTGTCAGCGCAACTCCTCATAAACCAATGCACAGAATTTGGTCAAACTTTGCAGATATTTAGCACACAATGTATAGATGTGCATATTACCAGGAAATTCCGATTCCTTTATATTTTCTTGGAATTTCGGCACTTTTCAACTTAGATTTTTGGCCATATCTTCAATATAAAGATGAACAGTTTGTCAGCACAACTCCTCTTAAACCGCTGCACAGAATTTGGTCAAACTTTGCAGATATTTAGGACACAATGTGTAGATGTGCATATTACCAGGAAATTCCGATTCCATTATTTTTCTGGGAATTTCAGCACTTTTCAACTTAGATTTTTAGCCATATCTTGAATATAGAGATGAACAGTTTGTCAGCGCAACTCCTCTTAAACCGCTGCACAGAATTTGGTCAAACTTTGCAGATATTTAGTACACAGTGTGTAGATGTGCATATTACCAGGAAATTCCGATTCCATATTTTTCTGGGAATTTCGGCACTTTTCAACTTAGATTTTTGGCCATATCTTGAATATAGAGGTGAACAGTTTGTCAGCACAACTCCTATTAAACCGCTGCATAGAATTTGGTCAAACTTTGCAGATATTTAGCACACAATGTATAGATGTGCATATTACCAGGAAATTCCGATTCCTTTATATTTTCTGGGAATTTCGGCACTTTTCAACTTAGATTTTTGGCCATATCTTGAATATAAAGATGAACAGTTTGTCTGCGCAACTCCTCTTAAACCGCTGCACAGAATTTGGTCAATCTCTGCAGATATTTAGTACACAGTGTGTAGATGTGCATATTACCAGGAAATTCTGATTCCATTATTTTTTCTGGGAATTTCGGCACTTTTCAACTTAGGTTTTTGGCCACATCTTGAATATAGAGATGAACAGTTTGTCAGCACAACTCCTCTTAAACCGCTGCACAGAATTTGGACAAACTTTGCAGATATTTAGTACACAGTGTGTAGATGTGCATATTACCAGGAAATTCCGATTCCATTATTTTTGCCTTAAGAGTTTTGCCTTTTATTGAAGAAACTTTCCAGCTAGGTAATAAGAAACTCCACTGGAATCAGCTTTTTATAATGAAATTCTATGTGAAATATTTTATGACCTTAAAAGACCCCTATTGATTTTGAGATCAAAATATTAATGGTTTAACACAAACACACACTCACACACACACCATCTTCGATAGTTCTCTCCCCCCCCCCCCCCCCCTTCAAATTGGTGTGCTTTGCCTTAAATAATTTCATAAGTACAGTATATAAACAGATTCATATGAATGACTACATCATAATTTTGTTTCCATCAATTATTTAAATGTGTAAACTGTCATGTGTTGGACATGGACTTACACTCATTAACAAATCGAAATCACTGAGGAATTTAAATAGCAGTTTGTCAGCATAATTCCGGCACTGAATTTCCTGAAACTTTGTAGGTATTTCAGAATTATGTATAGATTTGTATATTACCAAGAAATTTTGATTCCATTATTTATCTAGAAACTTCAGCCCAGTTAAATTTGTAACATACAAAGATTTGAATGTCCTTATATGCAAGAAGTTTTGATGTGATGATTTTTTGCAAGTAATGCCCCTTTTTTGAATTATACTGTGTATTTAAAATGCACTGTGCCATTCATTACGTGTTGCATTGTCGAGTTTTGGGGAAGCGTGGGGTATGTGAGCTTGCTCACTTTTTCTTTCATTTTATATTCATTTTCTTTACAGAAGAAAATGTCTGTCAATTACTCCGATGGATTATCTCCTTATGAACACAAAGGAAAATGTGGCCAAGCAGAAAAGTTTGACCCCCCAGAAGTGGTATCAGAAAAAGTCCAACAGTTAGCTGACATGATAAGATCCAGCAGACACTTGGTGGTGCACACAGGGGCAGGCATCAGCACAGCTGCTGGAATCCCAGACTTTCGTGGGCCCAGAGGTATCAGGAAGGACATTAATATTGACATACTCTTTTCTTTTTGAGAAATTGGTGAAGGTTTTGGTGATAGACAATGAGCCATTACATTAAACAAGGAAAATTTGACAGATTCAAGAGTTATGTGTAGGAGTTAAGCATTTCTTCATATTGGTCTTTACAAGGCACAATCATTAAAATTGTCCTTATTAGGGCTATCTATATTGATACATATCACGATATTTGAGTAACAATATGATATGTATCACGATATGTTGAATTGGTTATAAAATCTTCTTTTGGTATTGAAATGAACAAATCATTTCTTCACAAATAAGAATAATTTTTTCAAAGAAGTAACTGTTGTATATCTGTTGTAAAACAAAATTATTTTACACAAGTTGTGTTAATTTTTATGTATTTCATATTTACATTTACCATATTTATTTTATATATCAAACCCAAAATGTTAAGTAAACAAAGAAAAACATAAGTCAGATTTTTATTTGGCGATATTTCTTCATATGTATCAATATGCATATCATCCTCACACAGAATCGATATTATCAATATCTCCAAATATCGTACCAGCCCTAGTCCTTATTGGGCCTAAGAAAAAAAAAAGTTTACTATTACATGCTTACAGAAAATAGGGTCAGTGGGTAGGATTTTGTTTTTATTTTGTTATATTCTATTTTATTTATTTATTTTACATAAAGGCATAGCTTTGAAATACAGTTTTTAAAGTCAGTGTAAAGTTCTTTTTTTTTTAGCCATAAAATCTTTTGTTTTAATCATCTATACCTGACAGCTTTTAAACAACCTAAAAAAAGTGACCTTATACCTGTATACTCTTATGTTTGAGGGAAAATGTACTGATACGATGTAAAAAAAAAAAAAAAAAAAAAAGTGCATGAAAGTAGGGTCGGTGGGATAACCATAAACAAACATATTTTTTTCTCTTAGGACTTCATATTTTTTTGAAGGAAAATGTTGTTTATATCTCTCATCCATGTGTAGAATTTGCAGATTTTGAAAATGATTTGAATATTCTCTCTACAGGTGTGTGGACTTTGGAGCAGAAAGGAGAAAAACCACAAGTAAGTGTGACATTTGATAATGCCAGGCCAACTCTAACTCATATGGCACTCGTGGCTTTAGAGAGAGCAGGTAAGTGCAAGGGGGTTTCTTGTGTCCATATTTGTTAAAACTTGCATTTCTTACTACTTTATTTATTGGATATATAATTCATTAATTAAATCTTTTTTAGGAATTGTTAAGTACGTAATTACACAGAACGTTGATGGCTTACATGTCAGATCTGGATTTCCCAGAAACAGACTGTCGGAGCTCCATGGGAACATGTTTGTTGAGGAATGTAATAAATGTGGAACACAGGCAAGTGTGTCTGCCATAAAAAAGTATTGAAAAGCACACAAACTACTGATTAGTTTGAATCACAATGCCAAAGTCAAATACCTGTACAGTTGAACTTCGGTATCTCGAACACTGATACCTCGAATACCATAGATATGTCAAATTGATTTGGAAGTCCTAAACACTTATTCTCTAAGTATTTTATCCTTGATATCTTGAATCCTCGGATATTTCCAACTTTTTCTTGGTCCCACTGAGTTCGAGATAACGAGGTTTGACTGTATATGATATTACAAAAACAAAACTATTATCCCGGTACTTTAAAATAAAGGAAGAGCAGAATAATTTGATATTCACAGTTCTACATTGTTCTTTGATATCTACATTGGGGAAGGTTTAAACCATTCATTCTCTTTGCATCGAAATCTTGCCTTGTATCATTGATAGTAAATATAACTTAAAAACAGATTTCATCCTAATTTTCTATGAGATGATGTTGACAATTTTTTTTCCTCCATCTCTGTAGTTTATAAACAATTCAGCTGTAGCCACCATGGGTTTAAAACCAACAGGAAATCCATGCTTGTTCACCAAAACAGGAGACAGAAAGTGCAGGTTAGATTTCAATTTATTCTATATAATAATTTAATTCTTGTTATAATGGGCTATTTGATTTGATAGAAAAATTTATTCATATTGTAACATGTGTAACCTAACCTGTATCACGTACATTATGACTTGTGACAAAAAGGTATCCATCTACTTGAAATTACACTTCAATTTTGTACAGTTTGAAGGGATTTTTGAAGGGAAATTATCCTAATTTTTACACTAAATGATAATAAATATAAAGCTACCAAGTTGTAATTGTATATCCTGGGTTGGAACAGTTTACAGGGTTGTGGATAAACACTAGTCAATGCAAGTAAATTTTGCTTTGGGCAATTAGATGTTAAAAACCTGGTCATCCACATGGCAAACATTTTACCGGAATATAATCGTATTTAAGTTTTATTTACCAACTTAGAGTTTAAATAAAATGCTGTACTAACTGAGGTTATTTGTGTAGCCACTCGGTACATATGGCTGATTTGTACCTCACCTATCACTTGATGAAGACAATGGAATCATCCAAGGTTTGCCAAATGTTTGTAGCATGGAAAGCAAATACATCAAACTTATTCATGACATACACCAAACATGTGGCAATATATTGGATACAAGAACAACCATTTGAGATTGTTCTCACAGAACACAATTGTTGACACAATTGGCTGTGGTTGTCAGACACTCGAACCAGAATAGTTTGTCTATGGTTTCAAATGCATGATAGTATATCAGAATCAACTTTAATCTCAGGTGTATGTCATATAAATTGGATTCTCTTGATTAACTTGAATAAATGTAATAAATATATCACATCAAAGTTTTTAGAAAAGAGAAAACCTGTCAAAACTTTAAATGCTGCAATTTAAAGCATTTAAAAACTTTAAATGCTGCAATATATCAATGATAAACAAGAAAAGAAAATCAGCAATTAAACAAAATTCAAGGAACATTATATTGTTGTTGTTAGCTATTCTGAGCCAAAGGGAAATGAAAACAAAAGTAGTGGTTGCTAAAAAAAATCTTCTCAAGAACCATTGGGAAGATTATCACCAAACTTGATGAGGATATGTTGAAGAATATTCAAGGCATCACCATAGGGCAAAGGACTTCACTTCAAAGTTAACCTTAAATAACATTTTGTTGAAACTTAAATATTTTGCCTATTATTAGGAGTAGGATCATAAAATCTTGTAAGTTGATGCATCTTAGGACTTTGCAATATGTTGACCCAAAAGTAGGTCACCCTTATCTACTTTTTGATTGCTGCAGCTATTTGTTTCAAATTGTTTTAGATGCATATCTTGAAAAAGATGAGGTTTAGGATCAGTTGATGCATCTTGGATTTCAGGGTCTGTTTAGTTCATCATTTTGGATACATAGACATTTGAATTCGTCAAACCTTATAAGTTGATGCATCTTGGATTTTTTAACATATTTATGAAAAAGGGGGTCACTGTGACCTACTTTCTGAATTTTCGAAATTTATTTTCAAATTGTTTTTATGCATATTTGGACACTGTGAAGCCTAGGATCATCAAACTTTGCTAATTGATGCATCTTTTAAAAGGCTTACGAGTACATCAACCAAAAAGTAGGTCACAGTAACCCTTTTTTTCAAGGTTATATCTTAATATTTCAGATACTAAGAGGCTTAGAATCATCAGACTTTGCTAGTTGATGCATCTTAGGTCCACAAAATGTGTCAACAAAACTAGTAGGTCATCATGACCTACTTTTTGGAATTCCATGACTTTTTCTAAATATTTTGAATAATAAGAGGCTTAGAATCATTACACTTCGTCAGTTGAGGTATCTCAGGTTCTCAGAATGTGTTAACAAAAAGGTAGATAATGGTGACCTTATTTTGGAATCTCACAACTACTTGTATATTAATACATTTTGGATAATGAGAGGCTTAGAATCATAAAACTTTGTCACTTGATGCATCTTGGGCTTCAAAATATATCAACTGAAAAGTAGGGCACTGTGACCTATTTAGGAATTTTATACTTTTACTTCAATATTTAGGATAATAAGAGGCTTAAAAGGAAATTTGCAATATTACTCATTTATAATGTCTAGTACATGTACAAGTAGCTATCAGCTTTATATTGCAGTAGTTTAGTTTTTTTTTCCATCCTGGAGTCCAGTGGTTAAGTCACTGACGTCGTGATTACATGTATCTGAAACGCAAATGTCGCAGAAGGCTAAATTTGGGTATAGAATACATTCCATTTTATTAATCTAACACAGTTACACATTTAAAAACAAGTTGTTGTTCCTGGACTGTAAGAGAGAATCAGATGTACTGGTATGACATGAATGTCCAATCAAATGATCCACAGCCAAATTAAAAAATCTATATTTCTGTTATAAAAAGCCACTCAAAGGTGGACAACAAATACCAACTTAAAATGATTATAATCTTGCAATTTCACAACAAAATTATTGTGGATGGGAGCAGGGAAGAAAGTTGATATTAATTAATATTAGGTTAATCTGGCCTGAACATTTTGTTGATGGGACATATAGTCCTATAATTGAACTTTGAGATAAACATGTAAAAGCAATATAGCCATATCGATGAAAACAGTTCTGATAGACATTTACCTATGCTAAATATTCTTTCAGGGGGCGTCTGAGAGACACAATACTGGATTGGGAGGATTCCCTACCTGACAGAGACCTTGAGTTGGCAGACCAACATTCAAAGTAAAGTGTTTTCTTGTAGTTAATCAGCACTTTGTAGAACTTCATTATAAGCCTGAGTATTACAGTGTACCTTGCGATATGATGCATATCATGATACATGTACTAATAAGTGATGTTGCAAGTATCATGATACACTGATATGCTAAGGTTATTTATTAACACATTTTTAGGTAGAAGTTCCTACTACAAATGCTTTGATGACCTTCTACATCACAGGTCATTTTAGCCCCTTGCTGTGGTACTCCAAACTGATGTTACTTGCAGTAGGAACAGGCACGAAAAAGATTCCTCACTGCTCAATGGCCCTGAGTGCCAAGTATAGGTCAAAATTTGCAGCTCTCCACCGGCAAGTGGTGGCGTCTCCATATGAGTGAACAATTCTCAATAGGGACGTTAAACAACAAACAAAAAAAAACAAACTTAAACTACTGTATGTGTACATAATTTGGTCTATTCAAAATTTAGCGCAATCACTAGGTATGGAGTTGTTGGCGAAGTCATGAATTAGCGCTATACATGTCAGTGCCATATATTTTATTTATGAATGATTTCTTGGTGGTATTCATGAATTAGCGCATTGTTGTCTGCGCCAAAGCCGCTAAAATATGAAGCCCGCTTTTTTAAGTACACATACAGTAAGTGGCTAAGTGCAAGCTGGTTCCACCATATCCCCCCACCCCTGTAATCATGGATTCCAAGTGTTTCCCATGTGCCCTGAGTGGATGCACCCCAGATGGTTTTCTTCAAACATACATGTACTTGATGTTTGTGTAAGCAAAAGTTGTTTGATCTGTGGGTGTTCAGATAAACATAACTAATGAGCACTCTAAATAAATTAAATAATAAGTTGTCGATCATTTCCAAGGATAAATGATAGAAGCAAACTTTTTTCAAATATTAATGAAAATAACAACTTCATCTATTGTTTATATAAGTAAAATAAATAAGTTTATCCACATAAATTTTATGTCTTTAAAAGTTATCAATTTATCATCGTCAGAAACCCACAGTCGGTCTCGTAGGTTTCCGACGATGCAATTTATGAGCACTTAAACAGCAATGTCTTTGAAAGAGCTAGGTTCACTTTATGCATAAAATGATAGATAGACCAATTTATTCACAAACACTTTATGTCCCATTCTCAACATCATTATAAAGTAGAGACTTAGTGCTTTCAGTTTGTATATCAAAGTTTCCTCTAAAGAGTCCAGGTACTGGAAAAAAGGTTGTGTGAAATTGCATTGTTGAATTTTGCAGAATACATGTGTATAGAACCTTCAATAAAGAATAAAAATATGAACACACCTCTCGATCAAAAAATTAAAAAATGTTTTTTAATCTTCATAAGTAGTTCTCTTTTAATATATTTGCACATTTTGGATCGGAGGTTGTGCTGTATACGAAATATTGAAAAATAGCATCAAATTTTGGCCATTTTTGAAAAAATCTTCAGGATATGTAAATAGTGACGCAATTTGTGATGTCATAATGCATTGACAAGCAGGAAAATTACATCATTATTGATGAAAATTCAGTCACCAAGGGTTCAAATGATATTTATTGCCTTGACAACTAAAATTATGCAGTTTTAATTTTTCAGAAATTTACAGGGCCAAAAAAGGCCATAAGTGATCCTTGCTCTTTTACAATTAATGAGAAGTTTGAATACAATTATGTGAGAACTCATTGTTGGAAACCCACGGTCGGTCTCGCTTCAAGCGAGAACGACCGTGGATTTCCGACAATGATGAGAACTCTGAAAAAGTCTTTGAATTTTATTTTTGATAAATTTAAACAGTAGCTAACAATGGCTTTGAAATTTAACAATTTATGAGAATTTTGAACAACACTTTTTAAAATTTATCAATTTTCAACTTTTATGTCAAATTAAAATTAAAAAAAAAACAGATTTGTCTGAATTTGAATTAGGAAGAACACATTCATTAAACTAAAATTAGAACAACAGGCTAAGAAGAATGCACCATTTTTTAGCTCACCTGAGCCCAAGACTCAAGTGAGCTTTTCTGATCGAAATTTGTCTGTTGTCGTCGTTCCTGTCGTTAACTTTTCACATTTTCATCTTCTTCTCAAGAACTACTGTGCCAATTTCAACCAAACTTTCCACAAAATACCCTTGGGTAAAAGGGATTTAAGTTTGTTCAAATGAAGGGCCACGGCTTCTTCCAAGGGGAGATAATTATGAATTCGTGAAAAATTAATGGCATCATTTAAAAATCTTCTTGTCAAGAACCACTGGGCTTGGAAATATGAAACTTATATGGAAGCATCCTCAGGTAGTGTAGATTCAAGTTTGTTCAAATCATGACCCCCGGGGGTAGGGTGGGGCCACAATAGGCGATCAAAGTTTTACTTAGGAATATACAGGAAAAATCTTTAAAAATCTTCTTCTCAAGAACAGTAAAGCCATGATCGGTTATATTTATATGGAAGCATCTTCAGGTAATGTAGATTCAATTTTGTTCAAATCATGACCCCCGGGGGTAGGTAGGGTGGGGCCACAATGGGCGATCAAAGTTTTACATAGGAATATACAGGAAAAATCTTTAAAAATCTTCTTCTCAAGAACAGTAAAGCCATGATTGGTTATATTTTTATGGAAGCATTATCAGGTAGTGTAGATTCAAATTTGTTCAAATCATCACCCCCGGGGGTCGGATGGGGCCACAATGGGCGATCAAAGTTTTACATAGGAATACAGAGGAAAAATCTTAAATATCTTCTTCTCAAGAACAGCAAAGCCATGGTTGGTTATATTTAAATGGAAGCATCCTCAGGTAGTGTAGATTCAAGTTTGTTCAAATCATGACCCCCTGGGGTAGGGTGGGGCCACAATGGGCTATTAAAGTTTTACATAGGAATACATAGGAAAAAATCTTTAAAAATTTTCTTTTCAAGAACAGCAAAGCCATAATTAGTCATATTTAAATGGAAGCATCCTCAGGTAATGTAGATTCAAATTTTGTTCAAATCATGAACCCCCAGGAGAATAGAGGGGCCATAACAGGGGATCATAGTCAAACAAAGGAATACAAATGATATATCAATTAAAATTGTCTTCTTAAGAACAGCAAAGCCATTATTTGTCATATTAATTCAAATGCATCCCTATGAAGTATAGATTCAAATTAGTTCAAATCAACACCCTCCACCCCCCCCCCCCCCCCACCCACCCCCTAGAACCGCTTTTATATCAAAACTTTTCAAGACTGAACTGCTTTCTGCTTTTTCCTAGCCAGAGTGCTCAGGTGAGCGATGTGGCCCCTGGGCCTCTTGTTTTCTGATCATCATGTAGAGAACTTACAATTATGCTTCCACCCATCAGTACTCTCAGTACTTTGATTCCTCTCCATAGATCAGCAACCTCAGACTGTTTATCAAGATTTTGTAATATTAACCAGGACTTGAAGACATCTATCCAAAATTTATTTTTCAGTGTTTACAAGAAAACTGTGGCATATTCAATTCCATGATGGATAAATTTGTCTAGGTTAAAAGTTTGGAATGAGGTGTTCCATCTTCCAATTTGTAAAATGAAATGTCTTATCCAAAATAGTTTCATAGATTAAAGCTATAAAAGACATTTGGTTTAGCATTTTTAATCCCCAATCTTCATAGTTTTTAAGAACTGCTTCTTTTTTTACCCTGCGAGTTGAGTTATTTGATTCAAATGAGAATATTTTTACACCTCCCCCTTGAAAAGAGGGGGAAATAAAGTGTTGGGGTGTCCATCCATCTGTCTGAACATGCGTCCTTCCATCCATACACTTTGGGGTAGTTAAATTAGTTAATATTGTAAAGTTAAGGGAAGAAATTCAAGAATAATATCACTATGCTAACTGCATGGATTGATATGTGGACGTGGTATTGTAATACGTCATCTAAGGCCATCATTAAAAATATCTTTGTTTCCCCTAACCCAACCCTAAAATCTCAAGTTGGGTAGGTAGGTAGGTACACTTTTTTTTTTCTGACAAGAGTATTGAAAAAAAACATTCTGAAAAAAATGAATAATATCTTTGTAAACAAGAAAGAACAAAAGAACCTGATTTTTAAACCGAATATCATACAAATGAAATTTAAAAGCAACATGTATGGTAAATTAATTCATAAATACATGTATTATTCATTTGAACTTGTGGAATATCTCAGACCAATGTAATTTTTTTTTTAAATCGAATATTTCTAAAAAGACAAGATTCGCATATACTCAGCCGTCGAACATCCGAGTATACCTTTCAAACCTACTATCATCTTCAAGTGCTTAGGCAGGCAATATATATTTCAAGGGCCTTGCGTGGTTCTGTGATTCTAGAGAGTTTCATTTTGGAGTCATGGCGCAATTTAGGAGCTTATTCTAAGTCACAGGTCCAATGTGGAACATGGAGACTGGTCAGTCGAATGAGACCGTAAAAAAGTAGGTCCAGTGTCGCAGTATAGCTATTGGCACAAAAAAGATCACTTACTGATGCTTAATGATCAATTGCCATAAGTGCCGAGTAAATGTTCTAAATTTGGAGCCCTCCACAAGGCAAATCTTTATTGACAAATGATGTCAGCCCAACAATATTAAAGGGATTTTAAAGCAAAGAAACAACCTATTTTCAAGGGCCTAATTAAAGAAAAATGCACTGGTAAAAGTAAAAAGTAAAAATAGGATCATACATGAACTGTTTATTAGATCAAAACAAATGTAATGCATTGAAATCTATTGATATGTATACACAGGTTGGGCCCCTCATCTGCTCATGAGGCAGGCTTTGCCATGCTTACTAGGTACGTTAATTTTAGAAGACACATTTGTAAATACCATCGAAACACTCCTTAGTCATGGTATATTTAATTCACAAAATTTGTTCATGAGTGTACGATTCTAACAATTTAAAGATCTATAATAAGATTGATATGTTGCCTTTGTTTTATAACACTAACTAACCCTCTGCGACCACATGTTTTGGGCGCCAATTTGAAATAGAACAAAAGCCGCTGATAAAATGATGAAATTATACTTTATAAAGTTGATAAACAATAAAAAAAATATTTGAATAATCTTATTAAAAAAAACTTTTCAGTCGGCGCGATTTAAGTGGGTGGGTTGCATTAGGGGAAACAAAGGTATTTTTTATTTTGGCCTAAACTTAATTTTTGTTTGGATTGATTTTTCAATTCACTAATTGATTTGACAATATTCCACTAAAGACCAAATCTTCTGTTGAAAATTTGTGTTATCAAGAAATGTTTTAAATTCTTGGATATATTTAGACATAATTTATATTTTAGGAAAGCTGACTTAAATCTTACACTTGGAACTTCTTTACAAATTGTTCCCAGTGGAAATCTTCCGTTAGCCTCCCGGAAGAAGGGTGGGAAGCTGGTCATTGTGAATCTACAGCCAACCAAGCATGACAGCAAAGCTACATTAAAAGTTCATGAATATGTAGATGAAGTGATGTCACAGTTGTGCAAATTACTTGATATTCCAATCCCAGAATTCCAGGGACCAGAAACTCTGCTGGAATCAGTACATACTGATAAAGAAAAGAAATTAAATGTCTTAGTGAAGGATCCACACAATGCTGTGATTCCTATTGTTAAATCTGAGGTAAAAAAGGAGGAGGAAGGGACAGAAATAAACAGGGAACACTCAGCAGAGGTGAAAATTAAATTCCCTGTGCAATGTGTGGATTCAGATGACAGCAAGAACATTTTCATTAAAGAAGTGGTTTTTGAACATTCAACAGAAAAATATAGAACCATTCCAGTTGAACAAAATCTGAAACCCATGTCTGATAACGGAACAAAAAGTAAAGAAGCATTTAAGCAGATTTTTCAGGAGGAAACAAAACATACTGGAAAAGACAACGTCAGTGTTTTATCAATGCCACAAGAAATATTAACAGAATTGAGTTATGATATGGAGTTAAGTTCTGAAGTTTTACGCAAAAGGAAAATAAGTGCTGATGTCAGCCCAGATGGCATTCAAAATGATTTGAAAATATCAAAGTTAATCTGAATTGTAAAATTGAAATAATAAATACTACATATAAAAATTTCATGTAAAAATGTCTGGAAAATAAATGCCTAATTTTTAGCTCTACTGGTCAGAGACCAGTACTTCCAAAATTCTTCTACAGTTTTGATCTGATTTCAGTATAACTTTACACACAAGTAGACTGCACTAAGAAACATAATTTTATATGTTATTTTATTTTGATGAATGATGTTGCCATGGTTACTAAAAAAAGAAATTTTGGTGAAATTCTTTCAAAAGGCCACTCTCCCAACAGTTTTAATCTGCTTGCAATAAGTATTGCCACAAAGAGACTAAACCAAGGACCATTATTCTATTTATTGTTATTGCATAGTTTTAAGTGTAAGTGCTACTTTTGTCTTCCTTTGTTATAAATACAAACCAGTAGAACTGAACTACAGTCTCATCAGAGACTTCTGGTTAATCATAACTGTAGTTGACGAATTAGAATAGTATAAGCTGTATACCATTCTAGTCTGAGAGAGATTTAGGGTTGTGTGGACTTGGAATATCAGCATGGGTGCCTTGGTGATTGGAGAACCTGGGTAGTAATTCAGAGGTCCAAGATTCAATTCTGGTCCAGCCAAATTGTAGAAAATGCAGCGCTTCCCCATGGAAACCATGGAAAATGAATTTCAAAGAAATTCTTGTTTTAGTTACCATAGCAACACCATTCATTTTCCCTGAATACTGGCTTTATAGCAGGTTTTAGCTCATTTGCATTAATGATTACATTTGTCTGGTGTCTGTAAATGTCTAACATTTTTGACTTCTTCTTCAGAACCACAAAGTCAATTTCAACCAAACTTGGCAGAAAGCAGCTTTGTGTTACAGTAAACGATAAAATTTATGGCTGGACCAGAATTGAATCTTGGACCCCTGAAATACTACCTAGGTTCTCCAATCACCAAGCCATAGAGGTTGACAGTCCACACAACAGTAAACACTACATTCTCAAATCTTAATTTCTCAGAACCAAATGTAACAGACAGGAAAGGTTAAATTCATGGCTGGACTGGGAATCAAATCCAGGACCTCTGGGTTGTAGAGCATTATATTAATATACAGATGCTCTAATCAATGAGCTTCCTGTGTTTGATTCTCAGTCCATCCATAATTTTTTTCCTCCTGTTACAGTAGGTTGAAGGGGATTCAGATTGTTCATATTAAAAGGATGCCAGAGTCCTCATGGGCAACATCTATGTACTCCTTGGAGTTTTCACTTAAAATAAAAATTTTGTTGTAAGATTTTTTGTGAAAAGATCAACGGGTCTTCCAACAAACTGTTCGAAATTTCGATGAGCACTAATTGTCCTCCTTTATTAGCCGACCTGTTTTATATCCCTATGAAGCATGAGAAGAAGACTTGCTGTGGCCTTCAACTCGACATTCGGATACATCGACGACATTTTATCAATAGTTACTTTTAATCATATGTCAACTTGATATATCCTAGTCGAAATGAGACACTACAGAGTCTGCCTTGTCTGTTTCATATTTGGATGTTTTATTGACTATGGACAAGGGCCAACTAACAACTAAACTGTATGACAAACAAGATGACTTCAGCTTTTCCATCATCAGCTTTCCTTATTTATGTAGTAATATTCCGCTATCGCCTGCATGTCTCCCAACTTATTTGATACTCAAGAGCACGATCAAATTTTAAAACCGATGCAGGGTACTGACAGGTAAGTTGATGTTACAGGGATTTCTACAACCTCGTTTAAAGTCAGCATTTCATAAATTCTATGGTCGTTATAATGAACTCACTAACATATGTAACCTATCATTGGATTGCATTCTGGCAGACTTATTTCATACCAATTTTTAGGTGTTTGATTACATAATAATATATAATGGAATATTTGTCTACTTGATCAATACATAGTGTTCCCAGAAAGGTGTGACCAGTCGACAGGGGATGCTACCTTACTTCTAGGCACCTGACCCACCTCTGGAATTTCCAGGGGTCTTTGTTTTATGCCTTGTTCACAGATTTGTATTGTTTGTGTGTGTGTGAGTGTGTGTTTATGTGGTTTTTAAACGATTGATAACTGTTCATTATCTTTACCTTTTTCATTTGGAGGGTCACGCCCTCTTTTTAAAGGAGATGATAATGAAGTTATGAAAATTTGATGGCTTCATTTAAAAATCTTTTAAAGAACAATTAAACTCAAAAAGCCAATACCTTTGCAAATTCTTCTTTATATAGTACAAATTCAGGTTCGTTCAAATTATGGCCCAAGAGTATAGGAAGAGACCATGACGGGTTCAAAGATTCACATAAATTTATAATTATAGGAAGTATCTTTAATATCTTCTTATGAAAATCTGGTATAATATGAATTAATTGTGAATATTGAGATGCAGAAATATTCAAGTAAAGTCATGACAGATACTGCCAACATAAAGTTGTTAATATATTCTATCAAAATAACTAGATCCATTACAGCGTATATGTGGGAGTATGTCCATTAAATTAGCTGACACTGGTAGGTTAATATTTCTCTTGTACATTGTTCTTGATCTAGCTCCCTGACTTCTACCAAGTGGTTCAAACTCGTTTCGATTTTTTTAGGTCACCTGAGTTTACTCAGGTGACCAATTGCTATCTGTTTTCGTCCGTCGGCATGTGTTGTCTGTCGTGCGTTAACATTTGAATATTTTCAGCCTTTTCTGGAACCAATTTCAACCAAATTTGGCATATAGCATCTATAGGTGAAGGGGAGTAAAAATTGTGAAATTCATTACCCTACCCCCCTGGGGCCTGAGGGGTGGGGCTAAAACCATCAAAATTAATGCAATCTTTAAAAATCTTCTTCTTTACTTCTTGACATCAAGCAGTCGAACTGTCATGATTGTAAAAAGAATTGAGCCCTCTACCAAAATTGTGAAATTTATGGCCCCAGGGTCAGGGGTTCTGGTGTTAGGGCGGGGCTCTGTTGAATATATAGTGAAAATGCATTATTTCTTAAAAATCTTCTCCTCTGCTCCTGGGTATTAAGCCAATGAACTAAGTACATAGTTATAATGAGGAAAGGTGCCTCTTTTAAAATTGTGAATTTCATGGCCCCTGGGTCAGGGGTTCTGGTGTTGGGTGGGGCTCTAATGATTATATAGTAAAATGCATTAATTCTTTAAAAATCTTCTCCTCTGCTCCTGGGTATTAAGCCAATGAACTAAGTACATAGTTATGATGAGAAAGAGTGCCTCTTCCAAAATTGTGAATTTCATGACCCCAGGGTCAGGGGTTTGGTGTTAAGGTGGTGCTCTAATGATTATGTAGTGAAAATGCATTAATTCTTCAAAAATATTCTCCTCTGCTCTTGGGAATTAAGCAAACAAAAATACATGTTACTCAGGTGACCAATAAGGCCCGTGGGTCTCTTGTTTTATTCGTGATAAACTAAAATCCGTTCATAAATATAATATGACAGACTCGATTTGCTCTAAATTTGGTTTGATATATCACGGAGTCGTATGATCCACGTACGAACAATTTCCAAAACGAGACAAGCTACTGACAAACAAGTTGATGAAACAGGGATATCAAGTTAACATTTTGCAAGTTATTTGGTCGATACAATGACCTTATCAGCAAAAACAAGCTATCATGAAGGCGAATGCTGACTCACGTTTTTCATACTAATTGTTAGGCCATTATTCCAACACTGAATTGTCTAATGATTTTTTCGTTTGCCCGATCATGACAATGAGCACACGGCGGATGTGACCGGTCGACAGGGGATGATTACCTCTTCATGGCACCTGATCCTACCTCTGATGCTTATTAGAGGTCCGTGTTTGCTGTGCTTTCGATCTGTATTGTTTCAATGGACTTTAAGCTCAAGTATTGTTCGTTATCTCCATGTTTCATAATACATGTAAAATACTAATAAAAACAGAAGTTAGTGTCACCACGTAGGATTGGGCATCATTTACATGACTATTCTGGCACCATGTTTGTACCCAAGTCAATCATGGGAACATTCCTCATATATTTTTCATTTTTTCTCAAAAGAAAGCAAAACCTGTCTCTTTTTCACTCTTTATCAATGTTCTAGAAATAAGGTTCAACTTGCGGAAACGCAATAAAACGGAAAAGTAAAATTGAAAATGTTCCAAATTTGCGGAAATATCAGTAATACGTCCACTGTTGGTTATCGAAAAACGATCTAGTGCATACATGCACCTGTACATTAACGCAGCTTTATCTAGGGTGTAAATTAAATTTGGCAGAATGCCATAAACGTAGACCTCAAAGGTTTTTGAAAAATGACATGACAGTGATTTATAAGAATCAAGTATTGTTCATTCATGACATTCACATTGGAGAACAATAAGACATACATGTGAGTATGATTCAGGAATAACATGTATTTTACATGGGTGGGACTTCATTTGTCAAGCCGGCGTACGCCGAATGCGCCGCTTGACCTTTGGTAACCCGGCTTGTTGCTTCATTTGACCGGGGAAGGTTCGCCGGCGTACGCCGATCTCGCCGGTCTGAAATGACCGGCGAGCAATTCGCCGGTCTTAGAAATATGGCGGGAAGATAAAACAACTTATAAAATGAGGATACTTTTAACCAATTCGGCATATTCTTTGACTGTTTACTTTTCTTGAACAAATCTCCATTCATGTATTTAAAATCCGTTCTTATTTTCTACAAATAATTTTTTTCATCAATTCCATGACTTTTTTAAATATTGAATTTCTAATTATCCAACCTTTTTTCGCTAAGACATAACGTAAAAAGTGATAGATCTTAATTAATTGATTGTTATATAATATAATTATTTTTTGTTTTCGCCGGTTTACGTCATTTGCCAGTTAGCCGTTTTACGCCGATCATATGACCGGCGCAATTCGGCGTACGCCGATCTGTGACAAATGAAGTTGGCCCAATGTTTGGTGTATGAAAACTCTAAGTACATGTTTTACGACAAAAAAAGATGTGTGAACTTTATCTTTGTCAATAATCAATGAATTCAAAGGTGATTTGATTGTCCACAATTTAATTCGCATGCTTTGTTCTTTATTGTCGTCTGAAGCTAACAGGACACAAATCCTTTGATAAGGAATCGATATACCATAATTATTAACATTAATAAAGAGGTAGAGAACGTTAAAAGATTATGTAAAACTCGTTTTTCAGTGATAAGTTGCTCATCAAATTAAATAATCACGAACAAAAATTGTCTTCCGTTAGCAAATTAGCATTAACCTTTTTTGGAACTCTTTTGTTTCCGTTTTACGGTTTAGCAACATGCCTTTTAAGGCGCATGCTTGTAAAGTTTTCCATTGTCAGAAAGATCGATTGGAATTCGTCAAAATATGAAAACCATTCTAGACTAAGTATGTATTACAGTATTTGCAATTTTTTAAATCTATGGTTGCTTCACTGACATAATATGAGCCTTTGGAAAACATTTTCAATTTAAATAAGGAAATTTTTAAAATTTCTCGTCACCTTGATATGTAGAAGTTTATCGAATTAAATTAAATTAGTATGGCAATGTGTAATAAATACATGTAAAATGATGTATCAGGAATTTCACCACTAAATACTAGTATTTCGAGCTCATTAAAAATTTGGGCTTGATTTTGATAAAGATTTTCTGAAAAGAAAGAAGACAACACACTTTCGGTTTTTATTTCAATTCTCGGAAAAAATCTAATTGGCAGGAGGCCATATATATGATCAGATATCCTAGAGTACCCATAAATCGTCCCCTTACGACATTCAACGTCATAGTAACGGCGAGCGCGTGCAAATTGATACACAAACTTCAGTGCGAGCTATAGAACGGAAATGCTGATTAAATGTTAAAATTCATTTTTTCATATCACTCTAGACAAGATTTTTAGAGCTCTTCTACAAAATCAAACTTTTACACTTAAAAATGTCACCCATACCCTATTTTCGTCCTTCAGATATAAAAACGGACGCAAGCGATTGGTCCACTTGTTTTTCGTGATTTGTGATAAAAAAGGTGGAAAAATCATTAAAATAAAAATTGTAAATAAAGTTCTTCTGTGCAAAAGGTATTTTTTTTTTAAATATTCTTATCAATTTAAGAACAATCAATTGCTTTAGCTATTACCGACTCCGTTTTCTTTTTAAGAAACAAGAATTAATGTGCTTTCAGATTTACATTGTCAACGATGTCATTACAATACATGCTCATCAAATTACCTGGTATGCGAATTATACAATGTTACATGTATATTTCAGATTTTCCCAAATTCATTGGCCTTACTGGCAAAAACCGATAGAAAATCAATATATTCGAACAATGCAAGTCTGACCGACACAATCTGGAAAAATCAGAAAACTTTAATTTAATGGTTGGGGTTACGACGTAGACTTGAAACTGATCACCTAATTATAATATGTAAAATATTCACGTTACAGGAAAAAAAAACCACTTTTTAACTACCGTGTAGTAGATGAGAAATTAATTAAAGAGTGGCAACAAAGATCTTGTGTTACTAGATTATCAATATGTCGTGAATTTCAGACCCAAATAGACGATCGCTGGATTAGTTATGCTTCAATGCACATGGCACCTGTGAAACTGGTAAAAATTGTGACAAAAATACACCTTCTTTGGTCGACTAAATAAAACTACTGTTTGATAAAATAAATTTTTGGTATATAAAAATGAAATATTCTCTTCTTAATTACTTGACTACTTTTCGACTTTTTTGCGAAAGAGGGGGGGGGGGTATTGATCAGGACTGGCGACTGAGCAAGTGAGCTAGGTCAAAAGTAGATCTATTTAAACAATGTGATCATCATTGCTTGGGTATGTTGAAAGATTGATTTTTTTAAGGGTGGAGGGGGGGGGGGTTTATGATAAATTCTTACGTACGATAAATATTGATTTTATTTATTTGTCATTTTAATAACATATTCCTGGAGGGAAAAAATCTCGATTATATACAACTTATAAAAAACAAAAACAAACAAACAAAACACACACACACAAAACACACACACACATACAAATGAAAGAAAAAAGAAAAAACACCAGCATGATATAAAATGTTTTAATTTGTAGGACCAACAGAAATTCTATTGTTGGAAGCATTCACAGTTATTAGTCAAAATTACTGATAAAATCTGATTTTTGGAGACTCTATCATTTGCAGTGATGACTTAGATTTTTTTTCTGAAATAATTTGTAATACCGCATATTACGTCAACCAAACACGGGTAACGTCAATTTCTAGGAGGAAAGTATATAAGATCCTTATGATTTGGGAGCATTAAATTTTTGTTTTCAAATTCTTAAATCAAAAGCCCATGCACGTAATTCAATACACTGACAGGTATAAAATAATGGTAAATTTGATCTGGAAGTGATTTTTGGGAACGTAACTGCCGTGTACACTTTCAATAAAAAATGGACCTAAGGAAAAACAGATAGTTTGAGGATTTTTATTTTTCTTTAATTTTACCACAAGTTTAAACTGCATATTCTAAAAAATAATTGCTAACACATTTGCATCATTGTGTTTACCAGTCATAGCAATTAAAAGTGACGTCATCGATACATAGTTCGAAACGTGCGGGCTGCGTCAAGTTTGAGGACGATTTTAGGGTACGGACGAATTTAGGGTATACGACGATATATATAGCTTGCATTTTACGATATCATGTGAGCTCCAAAGTCAACGAGTGTTTATTAGGGCAGTGTCAATATATCGATTAATCAATACGTATCGAATATTCAGGAATGTATCGTACCGAAACTATTTACAGGGTGTTTCGCCGAACATATCCCGACTTTGGATGTCTATATTTTTGGAGGCCTTTAAGGACGATCGATCTTGAGCTTTTTGGCAAATTCTTGTGTCTGAATCTCTTTTTCTAAAATTCTACATCATATTTTATTTTTTACAATAAAATTAGATTCTACAGTGCCAATTTAGCTGCAAACTATAAAATAAACTAAAAACTCTTGATTAAAGCATTAAGCGAGGAACTATATTTTGTGGCTTAAGGTTTTCCAGAAAAAATAATCAATTTTTCTCTTAGGAAGTATTAACAGTCTTGCTAAAGTTTTTATAGTAATTATCAAAATATTTTCACCGTAGTATTCACTTCCAACCTTCTAAGTTTCCTTAATTTTAAGTTTCTTAAACTTCCTTTCATATAGTAGCCTATATATATATATTACATTACCCTTTTTTATGAACCAGCAAAGTCGGGATATTTTTGCCGAAACACCCTGTATGTTTGATAATAATTTAACCCAACAAAATTTGAGCAGTTCTTTATTAACAAAGTTCATTCCTAAGCTTGAGTCTAAAAAAATTATTATCAAATAATAATTCTTGGTAACATAAACATAATATTACAATTAAAGATAGTTTTGGTCGCTACGCTTTGAAATATATACATGTATCTCTGATAATCTCCGCACTAGAAAATCTCACCAAGTAGTAACCATTTTTGATTACATGCATTTGTTTTGTTTAAATTTCACCCTTTTTTCACGTGATAGAGTTTTACCTGCTCTTTTGGTAAATAAAAAAAAACCCAATTACTACGAATCATACAAAATCTTGATAGATACATTGGTTTGGTTTAGTTTGAATACATTTTATTGTCTGTAAATTTTACATACAGGGTTAAGCACAAGTTCTAAAAAACCAATACACCCTTTCCCTACATGTGAAATATAATTGTATCAAACATTTTTACATATATGGGTAAAGATACATTTAATACATATATCTTTAAAATCACGTTGGATTTGTTCTTGCATTGTTGATTATTTGCTTTGCTTTGTTTTCTTTTGCTATTTGATCAAGTTAAGTTTACTTTAAAATGTTTTAGGTTGATGAAATTGATATAAACCCATGCTTCTTGTCTATAAAACATTTACATACTATAATGATGTGAATAGATATAGAAAAAAATAGCTATAATTTCTGTTTGATACAGATGCTATTCGAAATTTGAAATGAGTACAATTCCATGCATAAACATAAACTAATTAAGTAGTAGATTTATAGGTAAACTACGAAGCGTAAAGGTCTCTACACTTGTGTTATATTTTTGTACCTTGTCTTACATTTTATTGTCTTATCAACATATAATCTGTTATGATTTCTTATTTTCATTTATATATTGCATTGTATCTGGGTATTTTCACATAATTTAAAGCGTCTTTTCTGTATGATGGATTTTATTGATAAAGGATATATCGACTTAAAAAATATTGATTTGAAAAATATTGATTCGAAAAATATTGATTTAAGCATGAGATTTAAAGATATCGATGTAGAGTGCTCGACACACAACAATAAAAATATATTTATAATAGTTAAATTAATATAAATATGTCACTATTTCTACGGGAAAAGTTTGAAAATATTGTTCTCCAACTAATTTCGCGGGCTCGGGAATTCTAATGAAACGTCAAATCACTCAGATTTATTGACAGCACATGCACAATGTGCCATGTATAAAGTGTCAAATATTTGTTGTATGATTATAGAGAAAAAAGTATTGAAGAAAAAGGGGGCATGATCAGTTAGATTGTCCCCATTGAATCAACAATCAATTTACATCATTCTAATTAGTAAGAAATTAAATATATATTCAAGTCTAGTAATAATTTAATAATTTGTCTTATGAATAAAATTCATCAACTCTCTTTGAAATAAAAATTATGTGCAAAAAATAAAAAAAAGTATACAGAATTACAGAATTAAATACTGATGTGACTAAAATAGATAGTGATGCCCCCCCCCCCTCCCCCATTGTTTCAATGTTCCATTCAAAAATACATTTAGTACTAGTCTATTTGGGGATGAAGCGAAAGTAACAATATTATAAAAGTTACACTGGCTACGTACACTGTAAATATTTGTTTTTTTCATTCTGTGGTAAACATAGGATCTGTCACATGGACCTGAACCTCCATAGTGTTGACACCCCCCCCCCCCCCGATTTCAAACAAATATAAGCAGTGAATCGTGTTATATATCAGATAAAATTTAACTATCAGCACATCAGATCTTACTTCTTATTACTTAGAATTATGTAAAATAATTTATGCTTCATTGCAGCCAATCTGCATAAGCTTATAGTCAGAAAGTTAAAAGGGAAAAAGGATGGGGTCAGCCAAATAAAATATTTGAAAAGAAAAAACAGAGGTTTCATTATCCAACTACGAGTATTCTTCTTTATTTTCGGGATATATTTGTGGATCTATAATATACTCAGGTAGCACAAAGATACTCTTGCCTCTTCGAAAGTGGTGATGGGAACAGTTTCCCCCTTTGACTATGCCTATGATCTAACTGCTGATGTCTTTCCATCCCCCTTTTTCAAAACATTTTTAAATCTGTATCAGCCTATAATCGTATACGATAGCAAATACATGATACAGGAACTTTCACTGAATCCCAAGTGAAGATTCATTAGAATTCCCTCCCCGCGAAGTTTAATTCAATAATATTATTTTCTCACTTCTTTCTCGGAAATATTCATATATTTATATCGATATATCTATATATTTATTTTTACATATCAACATCACTATATTGATATGATTAAATATCTTGTTTTGATCAATATCTTAAAATCAATATTTTTTGAAGTCGATAATACTGATAGCAATAAAATCAATTAAATAAAAGAAGGTGCCTTAAATTATGTAAAAATATCTAAATACAATTCAAAAAATTCAAAAGGAGTTATAACACTTAATATGTTGATAAGACAATGAAATATAAGACAATATACACGTTATAACACAACAAGTGTAGAGACCTTTACGCTTCCGTAGTAAACCTATGCAATTACGTTTTTTGTTGTTTTCGCAGACATGGATATTGTAGATAGTTGTTCGCTTTCATGTTTTTCCTTCTACAACATGTTGTTAAAAATGACGATTTATTTTAAGAATTTACGCACTAAGTTCTTTTAAATATATACTAGCTCTTATTTTCCTGTTTCGTAATTAAAAGAAATCGATGAAAAAATATTTCAGTATTTTAAATTTAAAAAAAAAAATGATTTTTTTAAGGATCCTGTGAATGATTTGGATATAATATAATCAAAATATGTGGACTATGTTAAAGGAAATGACAGTTTATTCTTAAGCCAGAAAGATTTTAATCGAAATGAATAGTGGTAATGGGTATTAGATTGTTTGACTTTTTAATGCAAAATTTTGCCAGTTAAGTATTTGAATACAGGATTATGTCTTAAGCTCATGTTTTGATTGAATAGAATTTGCTTTCAACGGGCCTACTGCCATTTTTTAAAAACGAAAATACATTTTCTCTTCTCAGAAATCATGCGGACGTGACTAGCTAAAGTAGCAATGGACATAGAAAACTATTTCACAAAACCTCTCCGCTTAGCAGATTTGAAAACTTTACTTTCATATAAAGTTGAGGATATCCTGTCATCTGGTCTATGGACAGAGGACAAAGTCAGAGCTACCTTGAGAAAAACTGAACAAGATTTGGAAGAGTGTAAACTTTTCTTACAAATCGTGGTAAATGTACTAGAAAATAAAAGATGTGCCGAGAAACCTCAAGTTCTTAGCCTTATACCTGTCTTGGAATCTTCAAACTTTGCAAAAAATCTTCAAACCATAATAAGGCATGTATCAACAGAGAAGAATTTACCTGAGTTAGAAAACATCGTATGCTTTTTAAGTCATTTGTGTAAAAGATCTCCTACCACAGCACACGGGTTTATCGAGTTGTTCAAAGAAACAGAGGATAAAATCAATGTATTGATTGCTGAAAGGAATGTGGAGGAAGATGAACACCTTTTAGATCTAGGTGATGAAATTAAACTTTTAAAGGATATAATAACTGATCATTCCATTAGACCCGAAGAACAAGGAAAATGTCACAAAAAAGACACGCGAAAACCACCGAATAATTTTCGAGAAATGTCTATTCTTCCAACTCTTGATGACATACATAAGATACCTTTCTTTAGGCCTAATCTTCGCGATGTGCCTTTTGATAATTTGGATGAATATCTTGATATACAGTTTCGATTGCTTCGAGAAGATTGCATAGCACAATTACGAAGTGGAATAATTGAGTATCTTTGTGCCAAGCATCTAGAAAAGAAAGAAATTCGAAAATTACAGGATGCCAGACTTTATAGAAATGTTACAATTGAAGAAGAAAAAGAAATGACCCTAGATGGTCCAATGTATACAATTAGGTTAGATATGAATCAGGTGAAAAGAATAAGATGGGAAAGGAGCAACAGATTAATGTACGGTTCCTTGCTTTGTATCTCGCCAAATGATTTTAAAAGTTTATATTTCGGCATAATAGCTGAAACCGACAACGAGGTCCTACAGAGAAAAGGCACAATCAAAGTTCTAATCAAAAGACAAAAGGGTACCCCAGAATTATCGAAGGGCCTTATTGTAACGGTAGTAGAAAGTGTTGCTTACTTTGAAGCATATCGGCATGTTTTGCATTGTCTACAAAGTATCAAAGAAGGAGAAATGCCTTTTGAAAGATATATAGTGCATTGTCAAAGAGACATTAAGAAACCAAAATACCTAACTGGCCTAGATGATGTTAAATACGATTTACAGCCAATTGTTTCACAATCCGTAATATTTCAAGCAAAGGAAAAAAGCATGCTACAGAAGTATCGTCCTCTTCAACGACGATCTTTAGTTGTTAGAAATCAAGAAAAAAGGACAGAAATTTCCATTTTCAACAAAATGAAATGGCCAAGGGCAAGTGATCTACGTCTTGACAAATCCCAGTACGAAGCCTTTAAGTCTGCTCTTACAAAAGAATTCGTGCTTATACAAGGGCCTCCTGGAACTGGCAAAACTCATCTCGGTCTCAGAATTGCGAAAACATTGCTGCATAACTCTGCATACTGGAAACGGAAGGATGATTCCGACAACGATGATGAGGAAGCCAAAGGTAAGCAAAAAAAAGAAAAGATACATCCAATGTTGATCGTATGTTATACAAACCATGCCCTTGATCAATTTTTAGAGGGGATGATTGACTTCATGGATCCAACGAATCGGGGGGATTGGAGTCAAAATATAGTTCGTGTAGGGGGAAGATGTAACAGTGAAAAAATTGAGGATTTTAAACTGAAAAATAGAAGAAGATCGTTTAGGAAGGTATTTGTAAATCACGGAAAATTTGAGAAGCAGCTACAGGACATACATATGCAAATATGCAGGCTTAAATGGAATATCTTTTGCGCTCAAGAGAATATCTTAGATGAAACAATACTGAGCAGTTCTGTGAAAGAAGTGAAGAGAATCATTGAGCATGAAACACAAGCAGGAAAGACATTTAAGATGATGGAATGGTTAAATGTGAATGAAGGATATTTTACTGAGGCTGCATTTGAAAAGTATGAGAAGACAGATGGAGATGATGTAGTTGATTTAAAGGAAACAATAGATGCTGAGGAAGTTATTGATGTGGAAACAGAGGGGGATCATGTGAAGAACGAAAGAATGATTGAAGAAGATGACTTTGATGTGGAATACAATTTCAAGGCTGTAGGAGTAAGCATAGAGTCGATTTTGCTTGAGTCAAAATCAAAACCTAATCTATCAGAAGATTTTATGAAATATCTTGACAATGAAGCATCGATTGTAAATAACTACTTCCAGAAAAGCAAGGCAATGACAGGAACGGAAATGCGACTCAAAATTAATGATGTATGGAGTATGCCAATTCAAGACAGATGGAGAATGTATAAATATTTTGTAGAAAAATATTGTGACGTTCAGACAAAGGAATTAAACGAACAGACAGCAAAATATGACAAAATATACAAAGACTATTTGGTCGAAAAAAATTACGTTGACAGGGAAATTCTTAGCAGTTCGCTTGTTATTGCTATGACAACTACGGGTGCCGCTCGGTATCAAACCGTCCTCAATGAAATTGGACCAAAAATTATCATTGTGGAGGAAGCTGCGGAAGTTTTAGAGGGTCATATCATTTCTACACTGAGTACTCAATGTGAACACTTGATATTGATTGGTGATCACAAGCAATTAGAACCAAAACCATCGGTTTACGAACTTGCCGAACGCTACAATTTAGCTTTATCCATGTTTGAAAGAATGATTGAGAATAAACTTGAGTTCAACTGTCTAATGCGGCAACACAGAATGAGACCGGAAATATCTAAACTTGTACAGGATATTTATCCTGGGCTGGAGGATGATGATACCGTTTTCAATCGTGACCATGTACTTGGCATCGAGAAGGATGTCTACTTTATTTCACATACCAATAACGAATATCAGAAAGGTGAATCACAAAGTTACTCGAATGAATTTGAGGCATTATATATAAAAAGATTGACAAGATATCTACTACAACAGGGATACAAAAGACAAGATATTACTATACTGACTCCATACTCTGGTCAAATGTTTTGCATAAGAGATTTAATGCCAAAAAATGAGTTTGCAGGAATAAGAATTTCAATACTGGACAATTACCAGGGGGAGGAAAACGATATTATCTTACTGTCACTGGTACGAAGCAACAAAGAGGGTAGAATTGGTTTCCTTAAGAAAGAAAATAGGATTTGTGTCGCCTTATCGAGAGCTAAGATCGGATTATATGTGATTGGAAATTTCAAAATGATTGAAAAATTTACACGCAAAACAAATCTGCTTCGGTCTGCAATCGACAAAATGAAGAAATCGGGTGCTCTTGGAGACGGGTTACCTCTTTTTTGCCAAAATCACCCTGGTACTCAGAGGATATATGCAAAAACTCCAGACGATTTTGATAAAGCCCCAGAAGGAGGATGTATCTTACCTTGCAACTTTGAATTGAATTGCGGTCACACCTGTACACATCTTTGCCATCCTTATGACAAAGAGCATTTAGACATAACATGTAGAGACCGCTGTGAAAAGATATGTGAAAGAGGTCATACATGTCAGAAGATTTGTCATTTTCCAAAACCTTGTAAATGCAGAGTGAAAGTGGAAAAAGACTTGCAATGTGGTCATACGGTAGACTTACCATGTTTTCAAGACCCAGAGACATATAAATGTCTTGTGATTGTTAACAAAATGTTGAATTGTGGCCACAGCGCAGATATGCCTTGCTGGACACCAATAAAAATGTTTGAATGCCAAAGGAAGGTTACAAGGACACTGCCTTGCAAACATTCAATTGAACTTTTATGCTGTATTGATTACGAATTGTATAAGTGCCAGGAAAAGGTAAGCAGAATTCTCCCAAAATGTGAGCATGAGGTAGAAATGAAATGTTTTGAAAATGTCAAAACATTTAAATGCCCAACAGAGGTAGTAGAAAAAAGGAATGATTGTGAACATGACTTCACACGTGCTTGCCATATTTCAAGTCTGCTGTTCCAAGTACGAAACAAATGCTCAGTAATAGTTTGCAAAACCTTTCCATCCTGTGGGCATTCAGTTGAAGTAGAATGTCATGTTTCTTTACAGGATTTGGGTTGCAAAAGTATAGTTTATACAAACTTTAAATGTCATCATAGCAATATACAAGTCCAATGTTACAAAAAAGACAAAACCAAGTGTGATTCACCTTGTGGTTTACTTTGTCCTGTGGGTCACGAGTGTTTGAGGAAATGTCATTTCAATGAAAAATGCCTATGTGAAAAAGTAGTAGAAAAAAAGCATCCACTTTGCGGCCATTTGTTGACATTGAAATGCTTTGAAAATGCTGCGGAAAAGAAGTGTTTGTTCAATACCGTAAAGTCTCTCAAATGTGGTCATACAAAAGAGACGGCATGCTATATTGAAATATCTCAAATTAAATGTAAGGAGATGGTTAAAAAAATACTAAATTGCGGTCACGAAAAGGAACTACATTGTTATAAAGATATCAACAGCAGTGATGTTAAATGTCAGTCTAATGTTGAAAAAACCTTGTCTTGTGGTCACGTACAGGTAATGAAATGCTGTGATAAACCATCAGAAAAAAAATGCACTGAGAGAATAAAAAAAGAGTTACTTTGTACTCATGAACAAGAGACAGAGTGCTGGAGAAATATATCAACAGTTCAATGCAAAAGTTCAGTTACAAAAACATTACGATGTGGACATTTGATGTCAATGAAATGCTGGGAGTCTCCACACAAAAAGAAATGCACAGAATTGGTGGAAATAACACAGTTTGAATGCAATCATGTGAATAAAATTCCATGTCATTTAAACCAAGAACTTCAAGCAAATCCAAATATGGAACTGCCACCATGTACAGCCAATGTTACAAGGACAGAAGTGTGTGGACATGACGTTACCAATCCCTGCATGCAGCCGTATAAAAATGTATGCAGAGAAAAATGCACGTATGTACTAGCCTGTGGACACCTTTGTACTGGTGATTGTACAAAATGTAATGGAGGACTTCTTCATCAGACCTGTAATAAAATGTGCAAAAATCGCCTCATTTGCGGGCACGACTGCGGAAGCAAACGATGTGGAGATTGTTATGCATGCGATAAACAATGTATGGCTAGATGCTCACACAAAACTTGTAAAAATATATGTAATCAACCATGTAATCAATGCACAGAGCCATGCGAATGGCAATGTCCTCATTTCACATGTACATTGCTTTGTCATGAACCATGTTATAGACCAAGGTGCAACAAACAATGTCCCAAAGTATTGTCATGTGGACATAAATGCGCTGCTTTTTGCGGAGAACCATGCATTCAAAATTGTTTGGAGTGTAATCCAAGCAGAGAAGCAAAGCTAAATAAAAAAATAGGACTGGTTCAGCTACAATTATGTGGACATATTTTCACTGCAAATGAATTGGATGCTATTTTCGATTCGGAAAAAAATGATATCCTTACTGTTCTACGTTGTCCTTCATGTAAAAAAGCAGTTATATACCACCCACGATACAATGAAATACTAAAAAAACAAGCACAACTAGTGAACATGATGAAGTCTCAATTAAGAATGGTGATGCAACTTGGAGGTACCACTTCTTATCCGTTTCTTTTTGGAGACAGAAAGGAATGTGTGAAATATCTAACAGAGTTTGGAACTTTTATCTCAGCATTTGAAAGAAAACTTGAGAAAGCAGAGGCGGATAACCTTAGACGTTCTCAATTCTGCATAGAGGTTTTACTTAATATATTAAACTCGGATTCATTGCTGAACTATCAAAATGCCATCGATATATATAGGGGTATGGCTTTCGTAAGTTATATCTGGAAGTTGTTAGCGATTAAACTAGCTGAAAATGATATCGTTAAAAGCCAATGTGACAAAGAGATGTCTGATGAAAAGAGAAGCACTGTCAATGAAGTCAGTGACAATCAGGACCTTGTCACAGCTGAAAAAGTCGAGGAAACTATAACTTCATTAGTTCGATTTGTAAAATGTCCTGGAAAAATTTCGACTTCGCAACAGAAAAATATAGAAAAATGTATAAACTGTGTTAGACCTGTATTAACTCAACAAGTTGCATCAAGAATTGGAAAAGCAGAAGGATTTCCAAAACCAATGGGGATCATAGATTGTCACATAGATAAGTGGACACTGTGCAAAAATGGTAAGCTAAATATAAATATAATATATATAAATAAATATAAATAAAATAAATTCCTCTTCTCATCCATTCTAATTACGAAACGTTATTTTCTGCATTAAATTGTTTTCAAGGGGCAATGGCTGTATGACTTTTTATAAAATATATATATATATATATATATATATATATATATATATATATATATATATATATATATATATATATATATATATATATATATATATATATATATTTCATGCTTAATGTATCTAAAGAAATTATTTTGTTTCAAAAAACTTGAACTGTTCAGACGTCCATGACAAATTCTGACTTTATAGCGAACACATCATTTTATCTTCTTCTTATAATTTTTGTTCATTTACAGGACATCCCTTCTGTCAATATGATGACTACCAGACCTGCTTTACTTGCCAGGATGTTAAGGCTATGTTTAAATATCCATTTTGTTTACCGTCAACCTTCTCAAATAATTATGAAAATCAAGGAGCTCGGCCAAAACAGGATCGTTTGAATGACAATGTGAACATAACATCATCAAGCTCATCAAATACAAATGTGGCCCATGTTAAACATCAGATGGATAGGAAAGGAAAATCTGAAATTGCAGAAAGATATGGTGCATCTGAATTAAACACACGGTTAGAGGCTAAAAATGAACCAAGAGGGAATCGTGGTAAGAGAAGGAACAGACGTGAGAAGTCTTCGAAGCACCGTCATCAATACGAGAAACAAACAGAACCAAATGTGGACTTTGAATCCATGATAGAAGACATAGCACAGACTGAAGACAGTATTAGGGAAGTTCCTTACAAACGGAATCCACGACAGGGTAAAAAAAGAGGAAGTCATAATGTGTCTGTTTTCCAGCAGCACTCACATCAAGACAACAGTTATATTGAAGAAAATGCCAATGATTTTGAATTCCCAAATGAAAACTTTTCAAGACAACGAGGTCGAAATCAAAGAGGCTGGCGAGGTGGTAGGGGTAGGGGACAGCGTGGTAGAGGACGGAAAACTCGACCAAACTAACATATGTAATGTCAAACGTTTGTTAGAATATGTATACTTTTTATGATGTAAAAAAAAATTTCTCGGAACCAGCGAAATGAACAGTAGTTAGACTTGTGTTATTTTTTTTATCGAAGCAATTTTTTTGGTCTACGTTTTTATTATATAGGTAAACAAAGACTGTTTGTATATTATATTTAATAATAACAGGGACATAAAAGTAATAATTTTGAATGGTGTTTTGTGAAATGATTCAAAATCGAATAGTATTTGAATTCAAACCATGATTTATGTATAAGTGAAGTTTGAAATATATGTGGATTCTAACCAAGGACACAATTTTCATTGTTATACCTTTAAAATGGTTCCTGTATGAATCTATGCTAAAAAAAGTCCAATATTTCCAAAGTTATTATGAGCGGTCATAAAAAAAAATCGATGTTTGACCGCAGAGTGAGGTATTGGACCTGTCGATGAGATATTGGATCGCTTACATCACACTGGGCGGAATCAGCTAAATCTTATCTTCATTCGTTGGTGTTCGACAGTGACAAAATTGACCGAGTTTTACCGCAGTGTGGGTAAAGGAAATTTACATCATGGAAGCCAGCACAGGATATGTTTTACCGGTCGGCAGGGGATGCTCACTCCTCCATGGCACCTGATCCCACCTCTGATGTCTTGCTCTGCTCCTATTTTGTAATGTTTAATGGACATTTGAGCTCGAATACTGTTCGTTTTCTCCAAACATTTCATACATGTATGTCAAAAAAAAAAATTAGATAAAAGGTATTACAAAACATTTATTGACTGTGTTCACGGACAAAATGCGTTCTGTCGACCCTCGAACGAGGCCTAACGGCCTCAGGCAAACAGTTTGGTTCTTGGGTCCGACAAAAGGCATGTTGTTCTTGAACACAGTCAAAAAACGTGCTGAATTATAGTATTCAACAAGACACAACCTTTAGTTACAACATCGAGATCGAATGTGAGTAGAAGCAGGTTTTTTTGTCTCTTTTAAACTATGAGCGCATGTTTTTCCATTTATCTCCAGCTTTTGACACAACATATAAAGTAATGCAAATATACAACCACTGTTAAAGAATTCGGGTCATTTCCCTCCAGTGCCTTTTTCGCCTAGGTCATTTCCGCTCAGGTAATATCTCTCCTAGGTCAGTTCCCTCCCTCACCTAGGTCATTTCACTCCACAACCTAGGTTATTTCACTCCAAACAAGAATATTATCGGTTTATTTCGGGATATGAATGTTCTTTTAAGTTATTTATTTATTTCCATTGAAAAAAAAATATATTTGTATTTTTTAACTTTAAGATTTTTTATACAAGTTCTTTATACTTGTAATAATATTATTTGAATAAGTAATGAAATCTTTAAACATTGGTGGGTTAATTTTTATTCAATTATTTCAATTATTTCTTTATTTACATTTATTTATTTAATTTATTTTATTTATTTAATTTATTTTATTTATTTAATGTATTTTATTTATTTAATTTATTTTATTTATTTAATTTATTTTATTTATTTATTTATATTCATTTATTTATTCTAGTTTAAAGATTGAACAAATTAAATGCGCAATAATGCAAATTTTCTTTTTAAAAGTTATTTTAAAGAATTAAATTATTTATCTTTTATTTTTATGATTTATTTTTTTTATATCATTCTATTTTATATATATATATTTTTTTTTTGGTAGAATCATAAAAAAAAACTGATAAGGATAGTACCAGGTTAGTCTTTATTCTCTTTACTTTATCTTCATTTTATTACGTTTATCAAGAAAATGTAAGATAAAAATGCAAATTTTATTGGCTAATTGTTGTCTATCGGATTTATGATACATTACACAAAGGCAATATATATATATATATATATATATATATATATATATATATATATATATATATATATATATATATATATATATATATATATATTCATTCATGCTGGGAACATATGTGTATGTGATTTTTCAATTGCTTTAATTACATATCGAGAATTCATTAACTTCTTATAACCATTCTGGAAAAAAATATCAGGCTTATTAATAAATAAGTATAAATTATACTTTAAAAGAAATAAAAATAAAAGTTTTGTATTTTAAACTTTTCCCGATCAAAATTAAACTGACTAGAATTACATGTAAATAATGTGAAAATGTTTAATTATTTCACAAAAATACAAGATTGCTTAGTTTTAATATGGTTAAAAATTAATTGAACTTAAAATCAAATTTATTCCTCTGCGGTTGTTTTATCAAATATAGGTAGTTTTTTTAAATGTTTGCTTAAATTTTATCAGGATTGGTGCAAATTTGAAATTTAAGGACTTTTGTCAAAGATATATACATGTAGTATACTTAGTGTACGAAATGGCCTGTAATATAACGCATATACAAACATCCAAAATAATTCAATATTTCTCAAATGAAGTTTAAACAGTGTTTCTCGTGAACCTATCGCCCGCATAAATGCGTAAGTTCACGAGGATATCCTATGAATGATATACATGTAGAAGTAGTTCTTTATAATTATTTCAACATATTGAATGGAAGGGTTGGGTGTCTCTACGAATTCAGAGTGCATTAGAAGTGTATTTCTCGTCGTTTATTTACACCTTAAAATAAAGAATGGAGAGACAGAGCAGTGAAAACTTTTCCAGCATTTGAGGAAAAATAAAACGAATCAAAACATAAAAGACAACATATCAATATTAATTTCCGCTTCAAAAGTAGTTGTCCTTGGGATCTTCATGCACATGGATTTTCTTTATTTAATAAATTAATTTGATTTGAGGACAACAAAGTACCGTCCTTTTTCCCTGTTTGAATACTGAAAGTATTTGATCCGTAATAAATTAAGTTTCTCAAACATAAAGCCGCAATTATACCATCGTCTTCCCTCAACATAATTTATTTTCTCCATCCATGAGTCTACTCTGCTCTGTTTTTTGCAAATATAACAACAAACTATTTGTCGTAAATGGGCATTTATTAGAATGCCAAACAAATTAACCAAATATGTACAAATTACACATGCCCATATGTGGATATATCCCTTATAAGGATATTAATATACATAACGAAAAAATACAAATATGACTTGAAGAATTGGCAAAAAAGATAGGAGAACAAACACGCCCAAAGACATGGGCATTTATTAAAATGCCCAACAAATTAACCAAATATGGACAAAAGTTACACATGCCAAACACGCCAATCTTAAAAGCATGTGAAACACACGACAAAATAAGTATGATATATTATAACATCGTTAACATAGCAAATCTGAGAACAAGTAACATACCATTACTTCAATGTAAATACATGTATATTATTGAATCAAATACAATTGAGTATATATTGAGTGGTTGCAGGGGAGGGGGTGGGTCAAAAATTTGTTTCCATCAGAATGCATGGTCTGGAGATAAACAAGATCAAGTTACAAATATATCGTAGCAAGAATTAATTGCGGCACTGGAAATTCCGGAAAAATTCTCTAATAACAGTAGAATAACAGAGATGATATGAATTACTTTATATTGCACATAAATACAAATAATCTTTGCAGATATTTTTTCAAGTGTCTGACCTATTTCAAAGGATTTCATATTGTAGAAATTTCTTATAATAAGTATTGTATTACGGTAAGATTTGTCCGTCAAATACTAATTCTGGGCCAACCCTGAGTTTTCCTCTTATTGTTGAACCCAAATTCATGAATCTTCAAACAAGCCAACACGCGTTATAGTTTTTGTACTTTTATATAGAAATAGCAATGAATAAACTTTTACATGAGTTTGGGATGTACATGTATCAGCATATTTTACACGTTGACAATTGTTAATACAGATTTTGTTCAGAGAGAAATCAGAGTAAACAATCATTGACATTGCAAACAATCTTTTATGAATATCCTGGATTACTATACATGTACCATAAAGACATTAAAATCTTTCCATAGATCATCAATTCTTTTTGTGATTTGCAATTTAGATATTTTCATAATATTTGACAATTACATAGACATAGTTTCTAGTATTCAATTATCTTGGGCGAAGTATTAGGGTTAAATAAATTAAAAGAGCAATTTTATATACACACTGGAGAAATCAACCTTTAAAACTGACAACCCATTTAGTTGCTTCTTCAATTTATTTCAGTTGATATTATATTTAATATCATGTCTATATTCCGGGAGGCACTTTTAATATGTGAATACATCTTCCAAGTATTTCTGGGGGGGGGGGGGGTTCATATAATTAGCAAACTTTATTTTTTCTTTTCATGAGTATTAATTTCCTATAGTTTGAAAGAAAAAAAAATACAAAGTGATAACTTTAAACAAAAGATAAATTTTAGTATACCCGTTTTACATTATACTCTTTTCTAACAGTAATGAATATTTACATTTGCGGCAGATCTTCTCTGTTTTTAATAATTTTGTCATAAGATGAATAGAGTGAAAGTGAAAAAAAAACAAACTATGTTTCGAATATCAGTGGTATGAAATAAACCTTTAAAAGTAAATTTTTCATACATACCTGTTTATCTTCTTTTATAATACTGATTTTGATTTATTTAAAAATACATGTATACAGTGTATCTTGTAAATCTAAGTGCTTCTACAAACACACAATTTTATTATATACTGGGCCGGTTAAAATGATTATTTAATTAAAAAGAAATTAACTCTGGATTACTTTTTTTCCCTTAATAATATGGTTCTTATGGACGACGACGCCTTCCACATGCCAAAAGTTCCCAACAATATACTGAATTTTAAATTTGTTTGATTTCTTTTTTTTAACATTTTTTACCAGGAATTACAAAAGCAGACCCTCTCACGTGCATTTTTTTTTTTATCAGTGATATATACATGCATTTTATTTGAAAAGACAAGCTAGGTAGGAGAGTGAAATGACCTGCCGTGAAATGACCTACCGTGAAATGGTATGGGAGAGAAATAACATAGGAGAGAAAGGGTTTTCGAGAGAAAT